CTTTGCACACGGCGGCAGAGGCCTAAAGCGAAAAGGTTTTATAAAACCCAGCTGAAGGCCTAGGTCTCGGGCAACGGCACGTGTGCCCACAGAGAGAGGGCTCTGAGTGCTGCCTCTGGCACCCGTGCCATAGGTTTGCCACCACTGTTCTAGAGCATGAGTCTCTTAATGACTGCAATGACTTGCTTAACCGTGGCTAAAACTTCTGGAGGCAAGATGTTCCACTGGTTAATTGTTCTCACTGTCTGAAATTTCTCCTTAGTTCTAGATTGCTTCTCTCCTTGATTAGTTTCCATCCGTTGCTTCTTGTCCTGCCTTCTGGGATTTTGGAGAATAGCTTGACTCCCTCTTCTTTGGGGTAGCCCTAGTCTTTCTTTTCTACATTGATGGAAATGGTTTTAAATTTTCTACCACCATCCTCGGAGAGAAAGATCTATTTGTTGCATTTGTCTTCATGTATAAAGTCAACAGTTCCGGAACGCAGGCAGTCATCCACCCGGGATCTCACGTATTGATGGGGTTAATCCTGGCAAATAGTCCACCGTGAAACTGACCTATTTTCTTACTGGTCCCCTACAGATCTGATGAAAACATCTTGAGCCTATTAAAGGATCCAGCCAAGAGGAAGGAGCATCCAGAACCCCTTTCAGCAAATCATATCCTTTTACTGAATATGGGTTTTTCTTGGTTTGAAGTACGTTATGAGAAGAATTGATTACCCAAAGTTAGGGGTGTCCAACAGCTTTGTTCCTTATGCCATCCGTCTTGTAAATTCGCAGGATTTCCCCCCCGCCATGTATATGTTTAGATTTGAACCAGACTATCATGTGTGCATAATGGTGTTTTTTTTGAGAGCTGGAATTTCATTTTAATGAAATTATATATATATATATGTACTGTATGTATGTATGTATGTATGTATGTATGTATGTATGTATGTATGCGTGTGTACATATATATATATATATTCAAGATGGACAGTGTTTAATGTTCATTTGCTACGTATATGTAGGGATGTGGGTCTGTACATAAGTTGTACATAGTATGTTTAGGTGTGTGTCATGTATGTGTTTCACTTTGAGAGCAGGCAACTAAATTTCATTTTTGATGTGTGCCCTTGTGCCCACGGTAAAAAAAATGACAATAAAGATTATCTTATCTTTAATGTATGCTGATTAGTGTACATTTAAAGTGACAAATTATTCTGTTCTGTTCCGTTCCATTCCCTATTCTATTCCATTCTATTAACCTTAACAACTTAAGACTTCTGAATTCTGGCAGTTGAAGTCCACAGACCTTAAAGTTGCTAAAGTTGGACATCCTTGGTATAGACCAGGGGTAGGCAACCTCGGCTCTTTTATGACTGGTGGACTTCAACTCCCAGAATTCCTGAGCCAGCATGACTCAGCTTGGAAACCTCTCCCTTTCCCCTCAGCATGGCTGGCTCAGGAATTCTGGGAGTTGAAGTCCACGAGTCGTAAAAGAGCCGAGGTTCCCCACCCCTGGTCTAGTTCAGTGTGCGTGGCAATGTTCCTATAGCCCTCCGAGTTTTGCACGGTGCCATCTTTCCTTAACCGAAAGCCACAGGTCATTTTCACCCTCTTTACCTCCAATTTCATTGGCGTTTGCTTCAGCCGCTCCTTGCATTACCAGTTCTATGTCTGGTATTTCCACACCCTGCCCTACCTGTTGTGGTGCACACCACCCAAGAAGCTGGCCCATCTCCTGAGGTAGGTATTACCTTCCTGGAGCTTGTGGGGGGGGGGAGGGATAGGAGCCAAGGATCTTTTTGTCGTATTTCAGAGTCTCTTCACCTGGGCCAGCATTGCCCTTGTTCTCCTCACACTGGGAACATTGTGTGGTGGATGGAGGGAAGTTACGAGCTGCACTGCTGGTTTCAGTGGGAGTGTTTGTGTGTCTGTTTTTTGTCTGTGTCTGTCTCTCTGTGTGTGTTTGTGTACGTGTATCAACAGTTATCCAGCCACTGAGATTTCAAAAGAATTCCCTTCCCCCAAGAGGTGGTGGCACAGGTGGTCCTTGACTTACAACAGTTCGTTTAGTGACAGTTCGAAGTTACGACGGCAGTGAAAAAAGTGACGTGGCCGTTTTTCCACACTTTAAACAACCGTTGCAGCATCTTCACGGCCACCTGATCAGAATTCGGACGTTGGGCAAACGACTCATATTTATGACGGGGTCACGAGATCCCCTTTTGCAACCTTCTGACAAGCAAAGTCCACGGGGGAAGCCAGATCCACTTAACTACCGTGTTACTAACTTAACAACTGCAGGGATTCCCTTAACAAGTATGACAAGAAAGGTCGTAAAAAGGGCGCAAAACTCAAGTGACAAATGTCTCGCTTAGCAATAGAAAAAATTTGGGCTTAATTATGATTGTAAGTCAAGGCCTACCTGTAATGCATATTGATGCCCTACATGACCAATGTGTATCCCTGCCATTTGTTTTGTGACTTGTGAGGGAGTGGTGTGATCCTAGCCACAAGGTGGTAGGAAATGATCCTTCATTTATCTTGCTTGACTGAGCAATTGCAGCAGGTGTGGAGGATGGGCTTGGTGGAAGAGGAGTGGACAGCCTAAAATCCCAAGTTGCTCGTGGCCATCTAGATGTTTATCCGATATTGGTTGCCCTGTTCCTACCATTTTTAAGCTGGAAAACCCAAAGAACCCTGTTATATATCCTAAAATACAGGTAGGGACTTGACTTACAACTGCAATTGAACCCAACATTTCTGTTGCTAAGCGGAATAGTTGTTAAGTGAGCTTTGCCCCCGTTTTACGACTTTTTCTTGCCACAATTGTTAAGTGAATCACTGCAGTTGTTAAGTTAGCAACACAGCTGTTAAGTGAATCTGGCTTCCCCCTTGACTTTGATTGTCAGAAGGTCGCAAAAGGGGATCACACCTGACCCTGGTACACACTGCATGCGTCATAAATAAGAACCAATTGCCAAGCATCCGAATTTTGATCATGTAGCCGTGGAGGATGCTGGAATAGTTGCATGAACAACTTTTGTAACTTTAAATGGTCACTAAACAAATCGCTGTAAGTCGAGAACAAATCTCCTGCTTAGATTGCCCAAATCCTTGTCCTTTACGTCACTCTCGTTTTCTTCTTTTCTGACACTCCCAAGTGACCCCGGGAGACTGTAACCATTATAAATGTGAGCCAGGGGCCGAGTGTTTGAATTTTGATCAGGTGACCACGGGGAGGCTGCCACCGTGGTAAGTTTGAAAAATGGTCGTTAAGTTTCTTTTTTTCATTGTAATTTTGAATGGTCGCTAAATGAGTGGTTGTAAATCGAGGATTACCTGTAAGCTTAACATGGGAGGAGGGGAAGGAAGGCCCTTTATATGCATGTGACAGTCTAAGACAGAGGTCCCCAACCTTTTGGGCACCGGGAACCGGTTCCGTGGAGAGAGGTTTTTCCACGGACCGGAGGGTGCGTGGTTTTGTGTGCTGCCTGCATCCCGCGGATGGGGCTTTACTTGTTTGTGCGGACCGGTTGCTGGCATGCCGGTCCACAGACCGGGGGTTGGGGACCCCTGCTGTACACGAACAGCCATAAGCCTGTCACAGGAAATGGGTGAAAGCTTTGCGCACTGCTACGATCGCTCCTGGTGGTAGAAGCTGAAGTCCAAAAACATCTGGAGAACATCCCAGACCCCTGGTCTAAGGGACATCATTTCTTCCCAGAAATAGCCTGTTTCCAAGTCATTCAACGAATCCCAGGCTTTCTCTAGAATTCATCTATCTTGCATTCAGGTACATATTTTCACCGCAGTGGGGAATAACCGGAAAACTCCTTCCTTTCCTATTAGCCCATAGGTCACCCTTTTTTTTTTTTTTAGTGCTTTCTGCCTCAAGCTAAATCGTGGTTTTTCTTCTCTTGGTTTTTCTTCAGGGTGCTTATTCTAGGTTTAGTCGAGCTTTCGTGGAACACGTATCCCTCGACGGTCTACAGCTCCGCTGCTCTCCACGTGTGTCATGGAATCATCCTTCTGCAGCTCTGGTACGGGACAATGTCTTCTCCAGAAGAGAAGCCGCCGTCGAAAAAGGTGGAATGAAAATGACTCCGAAGAGGGACAACACGACTTGGGACTAAGATCGGATGTGGCTGAGGACAACTGACAAGGGCTGTTCGTAAATCTGCCTGATGCTCGAGGTGACCCACGGCCTTCCCTTCCCGGCGGCTGAAGGGTGGCGCGGAGTGGGAATTGACAGAGGTTTATCGTCACACCAAAAGATAATGTGGAATAACCTGAATAAAGGACAGTACATGGTTTGATACGAGGCTTCCCGTGGTTGCAATGTATATATTGTCATAGGATGTGATATCCTCCAGAGTCTGTCTCTTTTTTTTTAAATTGGAGTTGTTCGCTTTTTAATGTGGATCGAACACTCTTTACCACGACTTGTGACAAGTCAAGGGAAGGTTTTTGTAAGATGCCCTGTGGCAAATTGCGCCCTCTAGTATACAGGGCTCCCCAACCTTGGCCACTTTATGACTCGTGGACTTTAACTCCCAGAATTCCTCAGCCAGCAGGGCTGGGAGTTGAAGTCCACAAGTCATAAAGTGGCCAAGGTTGGGGAGCTCTGCTCTGGTCGTACAGGTAATCCTCAACGTACGACCGCAATTGAGCCCAAAGGTGAGACATTTCTTAAGTGAGTTTTGCTCCATTTGACGACCTTTCTTGCCACGGTTGTTAAGCGAATCACTGCAGTTGTTAAGTTAGCAAAACTCACTTAACCAGGGTCTCGCTTAGCGACGGAAATGTTGGGCTCAATGGTGGCCATAAGTCGAGGACTACCTGTACCTTGATTATACACCTTTAGCAAAGCGGCAGACCGAGAGGGGGAGGGAGAATGGCCTTGGGTGGTTGTATTTTTTGAAGCTCTCCACCGTCAGCAAAGTCATACTTTTTTTTCCCCCCAGCCCGTCTCGTCAGCAATACAGACTCTGGATTCCAGAATCCTCTTTATTGGCCTCGCCTGCTCGTCACACGTCATTCGGGTTGTAGCACAACATGTTCAGCTTGATGTTCTCGTCCCAGTGGCGGAGCAGCAGGAAAAGCTGGCGGGCTGCTCCTTTCAAAGCAGCCACGTCCAGGCCTTCGGGCAGCAGCTGCCCCCGCAGCCAGGAATCCGCTTTGGCTGCCAGCAGCTCCCATTCCACAAAAAAGCCGGCGCAACGATGCTCCAGCCAGGCCAGGGCCACGGCTGTGGCCCAGCTCGTGCTCTCTAAATCGCCCTCCTCGGTCTCCAACCCGGCCTCCTGCAGGCTGAGGCTGGCTTCCGAAGCGTCCGGCGAATGGTCGCAGGCGTCGGTTTCCGAGCCCCGGCCGCTGTCCGCCTGGGCCCACACAACGGCGCTCAGAACGTCTGAGCAGGTGCTGGGCGAGTGTGGAGAGTCCGGCTCCATCCCCTGCGCTTTGCTCGTCCTGACTCCCTCTTCATCGGCTTCCGGGGGAGGCTGGTTTGCCGGTGGCTTTGGGGTGTTCTTGGCGATCAAAGCCCACGGAGAGGTGCTGGAGGCAGGGCTCAGGCTGGCCCGGTGTGAGGGATAAGGAGAGGCCCGGCACAAGCGGTCCAGGGGGATCTGCACCGCTTCCGAGAAGGCCTCGTTCAGGTGGAACAGGCCTGGGGCTTGCTGCAGCTGCACCTGGGGAGGTATGGACAGAAGAGAATTATCTGGAGCTCAAGGTTGAACTGTGGGGGTCCTTAATAATAATAATAATAATGATAAAGTTGGAAGGGACCTTGGAGGTCATCTATTCTAGTCCAACCCCCTGCTCAGGCAGGAAACCCTATACCATTTCGGACAAATGGCTGTCCAGTCTCTTCTTAAAAACTTCCAGTGTTGGTGCATTCACCATTTCTGGAGTCAGGTTGTTCCACTGGTTAATTGTTCTAACTGTCAGGAAGTTTCTCCTTAGTTCTAGGTTGCTTCTCTCCTTGATCAGTTTCCATCCGTTGCTTCTTGTCCTGCCTTCAGGCATTTTGGAAAATAGCTTGACTCCCTCTTCTTTGTGGCAGCCCCTGAGATATTGGAAGACTGCTATCCTGTCCCCCCTCGTCCTTCTCTTCGTTCTCTCTGAGCTTGGTTGGTTTATTTATTAATTTATTTTATTCATATCTCAACTTCTTAACCACCCATCTCCTTCAGAGAAGGGCTCGAGGCAGTGTGCAATTCAATCAATAAAATTAAGCATTAAAAACAGAGCAATTTTAAGATTTATATATAAAAACCAACATTCTAAAATTACAAAAGAGAGAGAATTCCAACACGGGGAGGTTAGCTTTCTTGCAGATGTTTCCTGACCAAACTTGGAACATCATCAGTGCTAGAAGTGAGTGGGATGTGTTCCCTACATCTACTAGTACTGATGAGGTTACCTAGTTTGGTCATGAAACATCTGCAAGAAAGCAATCAAGCTCAGAGAGCGCCAAGGGTCCCCAGTTGGAGGTATATTTCAGCTTTCCTTTTGAATTAAGTCAGAAGAATTTAGGGACCTTGCCTATGCCGGGACCTCTTTTAATTTCAGGAATTTTGCCCAGCCCAACTTTGCCCTGGGTTCTAAAGAGGGATAAGCAGTCCCAAAGCAGTGTTCCCATTCATTATCCTGGCGGGAAGGCAAAGACTTGAGTCTCAAGCCAAAGTCTAGCAAAAAAAAAAAAAAGGACAGAGCTTGATTGGCTTACACTCCTGGGTTAACAAGCGCACAAGTGGAGAGAGAGGTCTTACCAGGGGGAGGTAGTCGTGAATGGCACTGTTGCAACCTGAGGACTGCTCGCTTTCTGGGCTCAGGCACTGTGGGCGTAAAGCTAAGCCGTGGCGTCTCCACTGACCACTGAGTCTGCCGAGACAAAAGCCGCCTTGCCTGATCAGGCCCCAGTAGAACTGTAGTCTCCCTTCTTGCCTAACCAGCATGTAAGTTAGCCTTCCCTTTCTCAGTTACCAGCCAAGCAAAGGCAATGGATGAAAGCCATGCCCAGTTCCTGCAACTGTTCATCATGTTTTAGCCTCCAGTCCCCCAATCATCTTTGTTGCTCTTCTCTGTACTCTTTCTAGAGCAGTGGTGGCGAACCTATGGCACGCGTGCCAGAGGCGGCACTCAGAGCCCTCTCTTGTGGGCACGCGCGCCATGCCCCGGAGATGGCAACCGTCCCTCTTCAACCAGCCGCCCGCTAACTCGCCGAGGTCCCACGTGGCCAGATGCATCCCAGCACCCATGCGCTTGCTGGCCTCTGTGTGCGGGGGTCGATGGTGTCAGGCAGCAGCCGCCCTGCCCCCTGCCTCACCTTGCCCTGTGAGAATGGCACCGCCGCCCTGCCTCACCTTGCCTTGCCTCACCCCGCAGGACGAGCCTTCTTCCCACCGCCCCACCTGCCAGAGACCCCCTGGATCTCCCCCAACCCTGCCCGGCCCTCACAGGCATCCCTCCCCATGAGCAACATTGAGGTGATCACATCCATCTTGGCCACACCCACCCAATCTGCCATGACCACCACAGCCACACCCATCCAATGGGCCACACCCACCTGGCACCTGGCGATAAATAAGTGGGTTTTGGGTTGCAGTTTGGGCACTCGGTCTCTAAAAGGTTCGCCATCACGGTTGTAGAGCGTTTAAGCTTGCAATACATGTTTATGGTCTTTTGAACGGCCTGAATCTTCTGATTTTTGGGCACTTTGCCATCATTGTTCTAGAGTCTCAACATCTTTTTTACATCGTGGTGACCAAAACTGGATGCAGTATCCCAAGTGTGGCCTTACCCAGGCCTTGTAAAGTGGTATTAATACTTCACGTGATCTTGATTCTATCCCTCTGTTAATGCAGCCCAGCACTGTGTTGGCCTTTTTGGCAGCTGCAGCACACGGCTGGCTCACACTTCACTTAAGTGATTGTCCACTAAGACTCCCAAGATCCCTCTCACAGTTGCTACTATTCAGCCATCCTGGGCAGACTGACACTTTGCTCCAGTGTCAATCAAAGAAAGATCTTTCTGCCAAACAACTCTTTGCCCATTCATGCCCACCCAAATGGCTCCTCTACCAGAGAGGCGAGGTAGCTTTGAAAGAGTCACCTGCGGCCTAGGAAACTCTCAATTGACTTCAAGGAGCCTTCAGAGACGGGAGAAGGACTGGAGCTGGGTCCTAGGCAGTGAGAGAGAGAGAGATACTCATGAGGGCTGGAAACCAGGTGTAGGGCTCCCGAGCATATCCATCTGGACTCTTAAGTGTCACGTGATTTATCTGGTTTTGTTTACTCATCCCTCGGATGTACACCAAAAATGCAAGGCTGTATGTGACTTGGGCTACTGTCCTCCTCAATACACCCAGGTTAAAATGAGAATGTTGGAGTTAACACGGAGAGCCAATTTGATCTAGTAAAGGCGCCAGGCTAGAAATCAGGAGACTGTGAGTATCTGTGGAGAGTCTTAAGTCATCCAGGTCAGGGTTGTCCCAAAGATGCTTTTTCAAAAGGCACCTGGTGTCAACGCTGCTAATATCGGATGTTCTTGCTTTGACAACATATGGAGATGCAGCCATTTCCCTTAATTTGTGTGTTAGTTACTCTTAGAGTTAGAATTAGATGAGGAGGAAGAATGTGTATGGGAATTAGTTAGACATAACAATATCGTAGTAGTGTGTGATTCAAGATTGTTGGAAATAAGAGATAAGAAATGGAGGGTTGGAGAACTGGAGGGAAAGCCTGCATTTCAAACTAATTGGAGAATGTGATTTATGACTGTCAATTAGAGGAGGGAATGGTGCTTTGATACTATGTGCTCAGGGGAGGGGAATTCAGATTTTGGCTTCGACTATGTACGTGCCGAAGCTATGCTATTCGAATAAAGATTCTTTAAGATAAACAATTCTTTAAGGAACCATGACACCTGGACTTTCTCTCTTTTTTTCCTTTAAGAGGTTTCGCTTCTCATCCAAGAAGCTTCTTCAGTTCTGAAGAAGTGAGGAAGCATTTTAGACGAGAAGCAAAACGTCTTCAAGGAAAAAAAACAAAAACAAAAGCTCCAGGTGCCTTTTGAAAACGCAGCTTTGGGACAGGTGACTGTGAGTTCTAGTTCCGCCTCAGTCATGATAGCCGGCTGAGTGACATTGGGCCAATCACCAGGAGGAAATGGTGAATTCGAGTTTTGCCTTGGGCATGAAAGCCAACTGAATGACTTTGGGCTAGTCACTCTCTCTGAGCCCAGCCCACCTCACAGGGTTGATGTGGGAGAAAAAAGGAGGAAGGAGGAGTATATTAGATACATGTACCACTTTGAGTTGTTCATAACAAAAAATAAAAGCGGGATATAAATAAATAAAAATAAAAAATAAACCTGATTTAGTAGAAGTTGTGAAACCCAACCTCGTACTCTTCTTCAATTTTACAAAAGCATACATAATAATAATAATAATAATAATAATAATAGTAATAGTAATAGTAATAATAATAAAGTTGGAAGGGACCTTGGAGGTCATCTAGTCCAATCCCCTGCTCAGGCAGGAAACCCTATACCATTTCAGACAAATGGCTGTCCAGTCTCTTCTTAAAAACTTCCACTGTTGGAGCATTCACCGCTTCTGGAGGCAGGTTGTTCCACTGGTTAATTGTTCTAACTGTCAGAAAGTTTCTCCTTAGTTCTAGATTGCTTCTCTCCTTGATTAGCTTCCATCCGTTGCTTCACAAGGACATTTGATAAATACAGGGGTGATCATCTAAGTATTATCTGGGTATTATCCAGGTATTACCCCCTTTTATTGGTATCATTATGTATAGTAATAATGATATTACTATACATTACTCTGTATATGTATAGTATATTACTCTCTTGCTTTGTATGTACACTGAGAACCTCTGCACCGGAGACAAAATTCCTTGTGTGTCTAATCACACTTGGCCAATAACATATTCTAATCCTAATTCTAATATTCTAATTCTAAAATTTCAATTCTAATATTCTAATTCTAATTCTAAAATTCTAATTCTAATTCTGTTCTATTAATTTTGGACACCGAAGCTTGAAACCTGAATACAACCCTGGACACGGACTACCAGATCTTCCTTGTTTCCCAGACCCCATAGTGAGTAAGGCTTACCACTAGGACAGCTCGACCTGGCTTGTGTGGCTGAAGAAACACTGACTGGTGAAGGAGGAACTTCTTGTTCTAGGAAGCAAAGAAAGATGCAGGTGTTAAGTGGGCAACCCTTGCCAAAACACAGGATGTTCTCAGGATGGTCAGCCTATTCTCTTACTGGAAAGCTTTTGGACAGCAGTGAAATTAAGAAAGTTGGAATTGACTTTTGCCCAAGAGAAGATCAGAAGTGCCTGGAAATCAGAGGTCAAAGTGCATCAAAGTTCAAGGAATAGCCAGACATGGCAGAGGGAGCTTGAGATTGATATATATGTGACAGGAACTTCTTCCAGGAAAGCAGAACAAAAATTTTTTTTAAAAAAAATAAGCTGGGCTAGGAGTTCTTAAAGAGAGTGGGCCCTTGAAACTCTTTCAGGGGCCCCAGAAAGTCAAATGCATATTTTTAAATTTCTCTGTTTTAATTTCAAATATAATAAATACTGATAGATACAACTATCTATTCTAAACCAATAGATCAATATTCTATCTATTCTAAACCAATAGATTGATATTGATAGATATAGCTCACGTAAACTTTGGAGCCCTCAGTGATTTTAAGAATTTAAAGGTGTCCCAAAGCCAAAATGTTTGTGAATTGCTCAGCTAGGTTAAATGGGAAATTTGAGTACTTTGTGGCTTAGCACTTTTTTTGATGAGAAGGAATTCAGACAATGTCTTAGCATAAGGTATTATCTAGATCAATATTTCTCAACCTTGGCCGCTTTAAAATGCATGGACTTCAACTTCCAGAATTCCCCAGCCAGCTAAGCTGGCTAACTAATTCTGAGAATTGAAGTCCACCCATTTTAAAGTGGCCAAGGTTGAGAAACATTGACCTAGATCGGGGTAGGCAACTTTGGCTCTTTTATGACTCGTGGACTTCAACTCCCAGAATTCCTGAGCCAGCCATGCTGAGGGAAAAGGGAGAGGTTTCCAAGCTGAGCCATGCTGGCTCAGGAATTCTGGGAGTTGAAGTCCACAAGTCGTAAAAGAGCCAAGGTTGCCTATCCCTGACCTAGATCAATAAACCACACAATTTGGGCACAGCCTATTATGTGAGCCTGGCAACAGTGGCTTTCTGGTGTGGTTTTGGCTTAGATAGGTTGTGTGAACTCAGCAAGCATGTTGCCTCATTGCAGAGAGCTAAAATAATGCAGGCTGGCTTCTGTGCAGATTGGGCCAGAACGGCTCACCCGATCACCTCATCCAACATTCCCAGTTTTAATCACTTGCCATTTCCCAGCACGTGTGCTGCTACGTGCAGTTGCTGGGAAGCACAGCTATTTCTCGCTCCCGGGAGTATAAATAGGAACAAGGTAGAAACAGACTTTTTTTTTTCTTCAGAATTTAGCTACAGCAGAAGGAGGCTCTAAAACTTAATTGAGGCATAATGCCAGGGGTGATGCCCACCCCGGAGCGATTTGCTGGGGGAGGGTGGGAAAAGGGATATTCTTAGCAGATCAGAGGACTTGCAGGAAAACTGGTAAAAGAATTATTCCACAGTGAAGCTAAAAAATAAATCAACATTTAAAAAGAGGTAGTAGTCAAATGTGTGGAGTTATAATTCCCACATTACCAAGCCAGCATATTCACCTAATTCATTGGATCAAGGAAGGCTGTCTAAATAGAGATAACTACAAAATGTGCACAAGGCCCACTGGATGAAACCCAGAAGAATAGAGCTACGTTTGACCCACACATCCCTTCCCACCTTCTGGACATTTTTTTTTGAAGCCCTTCCCTCTGCTGATGTGCACCCACTGGCTGGGTTCATGCAACCTGCTAAACCAAAACAGGAAGACCTAACATGTATGTTAAAAGCTTGATTAACACTCTCTTACTTTGTTTTTTCCCCAAGCATGTTCGCATACATGTTAACACATGTAATAAAGGTTAAAGAGTCTCTCCGGATTTTACTCCCTTAGTCATTGCCGACTATAACAATAGCAGTAGCACTTAGACTTATATACCGCTTCATAGTGCTTTACAGCCCTCTTTTAAGTGGTTTACAGAGTTAGCCTATTGTCCCCAACAATCTGGGTCCTCGTTTTACTGACCTCGGAAGGATGGAAGGCTGAGTCAACTTTGAGGCTGTCAGGATCAAACTGATGGCAGTGGGCAGAGTTAGCCTGCAATACTGCATTCTAACCACTGCGCCACCCCGGGCAGTGCTCATCTCCATATCGTGGCCATTGAGCCAGCGATGTCCGAAGACATTTCCGTGGTCATGTGGCCGGCAGGACATCACAGAACGCTGTTTACCTTCCCACCAAAGCGGTAACTATTTATCTATTTGCAATTGCATGCTTTTGAGCTGCTAGGTTGGCAGGAGCTAGAGTTGAGGACAGGAGCTCCCCCTGTCGTGTAGCGCTCGGGTTTCAAACCTGGGCTGCCGGCTTTCCAGTTGACCAGCTCAGCATCTTTAATGTCTGAGCCACTGTGCTGCCCCTGTAATTTCAAATTAAACCGATGAGGTGTGTACCTGCAGGAACAAGAGCATCATCCAAATCCTGTGAATCCTGCCCGTGCCCCAGGCTTAGCGAGTAACTCTGATGACGCTGATTGAATAAACGGGACCCTTTCTGATGATTGTTTACGCCGTCTGGGAGAAAGCAGAGTCAGGATGATCAGACGTATTTCCGGCTATCCTGCTAGCATTTCAGCGATGAACATTTATTTGTCTTAAAAAAGACTCTTTTTTTAAAAATCCCCACAGCTCCGGAAGTCAAAAGCAATCCTCTGTTTTTTAGTCAGAGGCTAAGGTAGCAAATATTGTCACGAGCAAAAGCTCAAGCAAAAAGACCAGGCCTTTTTAATAAAATGAGCAAATGAGAGTCAAAAAACAAAAAGGGGGGGGGGGAAGCTTGCTTAATATTTTGAAGAAAAATTCTAAAAAGAATCTTCCCGTTATAAATTTGCTACGCCCAGCGTCCAAAATGATTGAATTATAGAACTGATCAGGTTTGTTTCCATTTATTTGTTAATAAGAGTTTAATACATGTTTATTTGTGATGCAACTAATTACAAAAAGGAGGAAAAACTGGAATTACTGGACAATACCAATATCCTGGAACCATCGATCTTCTTTATGCCATTGTTTGTGTCACAGATACTAGGAGCAATAGCTTACAGGTAGTCCTTGACTTACAACAGTTCATTTAGTGACTGTTCGAAGTTAAAATGGCACTGAAATAAGTGACTTATGACCGTTTTTCACACTTACAAGCATTGCAGCATCCCCATGGATGCTCTGCCAACTGGCTTGGGGGTGGTGGTGGTGGTGTCTAAGAGTACCTGCAACCCTGAGGGTGGTTGGGTGGGTGAAGGTGCTTCCTCTGCCTTTTAACTCTGCAATCGTTCTTATTAACTCTGTTTTGATTTGGCTTTTAACTTTGTTTTTAACTATGGTATTTATGTAATTTTTATTGTTGGACTTATAAACTGCCCAAAGTCGCGCAAACGTGATGGGCGGGTATAGAAATTAGATAAATAATTACGCTCCCATTCTGGGTAGTCCTACCTGGGCTGCGAACCTGAAGTGCTAAAGGCAAGGTCTCCTTAGTGGAAGAGTCTACAGGCACCGCGGAGGTAAACGTGGACGGGAGATTGCAAGCCTTGCTGGACTGGACAGCTTTAAGACGGAACCTGCGGAAGAAACCTAAGGAAAAGAAGAGAGAGAATTATTTCATTGATTTCTTTAATGCGTTTTAGAATTCTGGTCCCCTTCAGTTAATACTCAGCCTCTTTGTGGCAAAACCACAAAATAGCATTAAAAATTGCAAAAGATAAAGCGGAAGTGTTGAAGGTCTGTCTCAAGAGAGACCACTCATGAGACCTCAGATGTTCTTGAGGTACAGTGAGCAGCCATCTTTCAAAACTGGCCATTCTGTTGGCTAGAAAAGATATTATAAACAAATACTATTATTATTATTATGTATTATGCTAGAAAAGTATGATGAGGATTTTGCATGTATTAACAGTAGTAAGAATTGTATCTGTATAGGGTGAGAAAAATGAAGAAATCTTACTGGAAGAAGAGAGGATCAAGAAAGCACTGGATTGTGTTGTATTGGACAGATTTATATTGAGGAAGATGTACTATTGAGTAACAAATGGACCCAGACAACACGTTGTTTACTAAGCACTTATTGCACGAGGTAACCCAGCAGTAAACACAGTAAACAGTGGTCTATAGTAAATGGTGGTTTATCTTACACTATCTACAATATCATACACCAGGAACAATATACATACATGTGCTAATACAGCAGGATCCAACAAACCACAGTTACAGCAGGAAACGGAAGAGAGAGAACACATCAGCAGAGCCTTCCCTTTATACAAAGGCTCTTAAAGAGACACAGACCCTGCTGAGTCATTCCCATCTTTACATCTTATATCAGTGATGGCGAACCTTTTAGAGACCGAGTGCCCAAACTGTAACCCAAAACCCACTTATGCATCGTCGGGTGCCAGGTGGATGTGGCCCATTGGGTGGGTATGGCCCATTGGGTGGGCATGGCTGCGGTGGTAACAGCAGACTGGGTGGGACTAAAAAGTTCAATCAATCAATTCCAACTTTGCAAGATCTTCTTTTTCCTGCGAGAAGTTGAAATTGACTGATTGATTGAACTTTTTTTTTTGTACATGGCGGCGGAGGCCTAAAGCGAAAAGGTTTTATAAAACCCAGCTGTAGGACTGGGGCGGCAGCGCGCGTGCCCACAGAGAGGGCTCTGAGTGCCGCTTCTGGCACCTGTGCCATAGGTTCGCCACCATTGGTGTAAGATAAACCACCATTTAATATAGACCACTGTTTACGGTGTTTATTCTTGGGTTATCTCGCGTGATAAGACGCTCTGACAACATTGCTAGCTGGAAGCTCGTTGGGAAGGTTACAAACGGGGATTGCATGATTCCTGGACGCTGGAACTGTCATGAATACATGCTGGTTACCAGGTGCCCAGAGGATGCTGTGACTCTACCTCCAAAACCGGTTGTTAGTTAATAATATACCAAAATTTGAAGGCAGGAAAAGTTGAGGAAAAGGAGCGTTTACCGTGTTCCACTTCTGCTTCTCTCTGAGCCACAGTCTCGTTATCCCGGATAACGGAGGCAGCGGTCAGGCAGTGAAGTAGCTTCTCCAATCCCGGGTTTTGCTGCTGCTGTCCCCGGGAATGTTCCAGGCTGTCTTTGGGGAGGAACAAGGAATCCAGGCCACCGATCACCTCCCAGGAGACGGGCTTCCCTGCACTGAGGGCATGGATCACCACTTGGCACTGGAGAGAAGGCAAGGGGTTGCCATCAGCCATTCCTTGCTCCAAGGCTGGTGATGGGCTGAAAAGGTAGGGGGGATCCAACAGCATGTCCCAGTCAAGATGGACAGGTGACAGCAAGTTGCCTAGAAAAGAGTAAGCCATTGGGATGCAGAGGCAAGGTTTTGCAACAGGACACGACCTGCTCAGATAATTCAGAAAGTGGGGTCCTTCGTGGTCTCTGAGCTTACAGTAGTGGCCAAAATTGTGGAAATCTTTTGGGAAAAGTGTACAGTAGAAATGCCACCTTTGGTTAAGTTTCCACCCATTTTTCTTCTAATTTCTTTATAACTGTAGCCTTGCTCACTTAATAATACTATTTTACATCGCTTTCTGGGCGACCAGTCAACTCTTTGCACCATGACTTTAATTTTATTACGTTTTACAAGCTCACTAAATAATAAAAAAAAAACCCCAACCAACTTGATAGCGATCACATAACACACTGACAAATGTCTTCCTCTCAGCTTCAATACGTGACATCAATCACTGAATCCTACTGTGATCTGATTGGCTCATGGCCAAAACAAGATGACATGTGATTGACTCTCTAAACACTCATGCTCATTGGCTACAATCAGATGAAGGAAAGCTGCCTGATATCAACCTAAGCAAGTTGTGCTTCCTTTTTTCTGGTGATTTGGCTATAACTTTTCATAGAATACAGTACAGATAATGGAACAAACTATGTTGCATTACATTCTTGATTAAATTATCTTTCCACTGATAGATACTTTTATGGTACTACTCCCCCCAAAAATGGTGTTATTAGCCATCAAACCTCAAAAATACACTTTTCCCAAAAGGTTTCCACAATTTTGGCCACTGCTGTACTGCGTTTCTCCAAAATAAGACCCAACCAGAAAATAAGCCGTAGCATGATTTTTCAGGATGCTTGTAATATAAACCCTACTCCCAAAATAAGCCCCAGTTAAGATCGTCAGCCAGACGGACGCATTTACTACTTTATTTCCCCGAAAATAAGACCTAACTGGAAAATAAGCCCTAATGTGTCTTTTGGAGCAAAAATTAATATAAGGTCTTATTTTAGGGGAAACACAGTAGTGGGATTTTTTTTGCAGATGTTTCATTACCCAGCTAGCATTGATGTTGTTACGTAGTTGGGTAATGAAACATCTGCAAGAAAACAACCAAGCTCAGAGAATACTAAGGACCCCACAACTCAACCCTGAGAATATTCTCTTCTATTAGTACCAAGCCCTGATGTTAATTAGTTGGGACAGGAAATGTCTGCAAGAAAACCACCATCCACAGAAAACACCAGGGACCCCTCCGTTCAACCCTGAAGTACATATATTTTCTCTTCTATTAATTCCGAAAGGTGAAGCAAGTCAGAAGCATTCCTATTGGCTGCTGCTAGCGTTGGACCTCATGAATATTCATTTCCCCATGTTTGGAACCCTGGCATAGTGCTCACTTGTAAACCCATTAGAAGATCCTTGCCACCAACATGGGTCCGCTTCAGGGTAAGCCAGAATGAAATCTATCTTACCATTTTTCAAATGTTGTATTCATTTGTTGGGTCTATATCAGGGCTAGGCAACCTTGGCTCTTTTATGACTCGTGGACTTCAACTCCCAGAATTCCTGAGTCAGCATAGCTGACTCAGGAATTCTGGGAGTTGAAGTCCACGAGTCATAAAAGAGCCAAGGTTGCCTAGCCCTGGTCTATATCGTACCCTTTTGTCCCGTTTTTGAAGGCAGGGATGGGGAGGAACAGACTCAGACTCAACCCTTCCAAGACCGAGTGGCTGTGGATGCCGGCGCCTCGGCATAGTCAGCTGATTCCATCGCTGACTATAGGGGGCGAAACTCTGGCCCCCTCAGAGAGGGCGCGCAACTTGGGAGTCCTCCTGGATGCACGGCTGACATTGGAAGATCACTTGTCGGCCGTGACCAGGGGNACTTATGCATCGTCGGGTGCCAGGTGGATGTGGCCCATTGGGTGGGTATGGCCCATTGGGTGGGCATGGCTGCGGTGGTAACAGCAGACTGGGTGGGACTAAAAAGTTCAATCAATCAATTCCAACTTTGCAAGATCTTCTTTTTCCTGCGAGAAGTTGAAATTGACTGATTGATTGAACTTTTTTTTTTGTACATGGCAGCGGAGGCCTAAAGCGAAAAGGTTTTATAAAACCCAGCTGTAGGACTGGGGTGGCGGCGCGCGTGCCCACAGAGAGGGCTCTGAGTGCCGCTTCTGGCACCTGTGCCATAGGTTCGCCACCATTGGTGTAAGATAAACCACCATTTAATATAGACCACTGTTTACGGTGTTTATTCTTGGGTTATCTCGCGTGATAAGACGCTCTGACAACATTGCTAGCTGGAAGTTCGTTGGGAAGGTTACAAACGGGGATTGCATGATTCCTGGACGCTGCAACTGTCATGAATACATGCTGGTTACCAGGTGCCCAGAGGATGCTGTGACTCTACCTCCAAAACCGGTTGTTAGTTAATAATATACCAAAATTTGAAGGCAGGAAAAGTTGAGGAAAAGGAGCGTTTACCGTGTTCCACTTCTGCTTCTCTCTGAGCCACAGTCTCGTTATCCCGGATAACGGAGGCAGCGGTCAGGCAGTGAAGTAGCTTCTCCAATCCCGGGTTTTGCTGCTGCTGTCCCCGGGAATGTTCCAGGCTGTCTTTGGGGAGGAACAAGGAATCCAGGCCACCGATCACCTCCCAGGAGACGGGCTTCCCTGCACTGAGGGCATGGATCACCACTTGGCACTGGAGAGAAGGCAAGGGGTTGCCATCGGCCATTCCTTGCTCCAAGGCTGGTGATGGGCTGAAAAGGTAGGGGGGATCCAACAGCATGTCCCAGTCAAGATGGACAGGTGACAGCAAGTTGCCTAGAAAAGAGTAAGCCATTGGGATGCAGAGGCAAGGTTTTGCAATAGGACACGACCTGCTCAGATAATTCAGAAAGTGGGGTCCTTCGTGGTCTCTGAGCTTACAGTAGTGGCCAAAATTGTGGAAATCTTTTGGGAAAAGTGTACAGTAGAAATGCCACCTTTGGTTAAGTTTCCACCCATTTTTCTTCTAATTTCTTTATAACTGTAGCCTTGCTCACTTAATAATACTATTTTACATCGCTTTCTGGGCGACCAGTCAACGCTTTGCACATGACTTTAATTTTATTACGTTTTACAAGCTCACTAAATAATAATAAAAAAAACCCAACCAACTTGATAGCGATCACATAACACACTGACAAATGTCCTCCTTTCAGCTTCAATACGTGACATCAATCACTGAATCCTACTGTGATCTGATTGGCTCATGGCCAAAACAAGATGACACCTGATTGGCTCTCTAAACACTCATGCTCATTGGCTACAATCAGACGAAGGAAAGCTCCCTGATATCAACCTAAGCAAGTTGTGCTTCCTTTTTTCTGGTTATTTGGCTATAACTTTTCATAGAAAACAGTACAGATCATTGAACAAACTATGTTGCATTACATTCTTGATTAAATTATCTTTCCATTGATAGATAATTTTATGGTACTACTCCCCCCCAAAAAGTGGTGTTATTAGCCATCAAACCTCAAAAATACACTTTTCCCAAAAGGTTTCCACAATTTTGGCCACTGCTGTACTGCGTTTCCCCAAAATAAGACCCAACCGGAAAATAAGCCTTAGCATGATTTTTCAGGATGCTTGTAATATAAGCCCTGCCCCCAAATAAGCCTCAGTTAAGATTGTCAGCCAGACGGACGCATTTACTACTTTATTTCCCTGAAAATAAGACCTAACCAGAAAATAAGCCCTGATGCGTCTTTTGGAGCAAAAATTAATATATGATCTTATTTTGGGGAAAACATGGTAGTAGGATTTTTTTTGCAGATGTTTCATTACCCAGCTAGCATTGATGTTGTTACGTAGTTGGGTAATGAAACATCTGCAAGAAAACAACCAAGCTCAGAGAATACTAAGGACCCCACAACTCAACCTTGAGAATATTCTCTTCTATTAGTACCAAGCCCTGATGTTAATTAGTTGGGACAGGAAATGTCTGCAAGAAAACCACCCTCCACAGAAAACACCAGGGACCCCTCCGTTCAACCCTGAAGTACATATATTTTCTCTTCTATTAATTCCGAAAGGTGAAGCAAGTCAGAAGCATTCCTATTGGCTGCTGCTAGCGTTGGACCTCATGAATATTCATTTCCCCATGTTTGGAACCCTGGCATAGTGCTCACTTGTAAACCCATTAGATTGCCACCGACATGGGTCCGCTTCAGGGTAAGCCAGAATGAAATCTATCTTAACATTTTTCAAATGTTGTATTCATTTGTTGGGTCTGTATCAGGGCTAGGCAACCTTGGCTCTTTTATGACTCGTGGACTTCAACTCCCAGAATTCCTGAGTCAGCATAATTCTGGGAGTTGAAGTCCACGAGTCATAAAAGAGCCAAGGTTGCCTAGCCCTGGTCTATATCGTACCCTTTTGTCCCGTTTTCGAAGGCAGCTTACATGGGGAACTTCATTTTTATCTCCATACACTGTGGTGTAGGTTGGGTTGAGCATGTACAAGTGGCCCAATGTCACCCAGTGAGTTCCCACGCCCGAGAGTCGATTTGAACCAACGTTGCCCTGGTTCTGGTTCAACACCTTAACCCAGTGGCGGGATTCAAATAGGTGAACAACCGGTTCTCTGTGTGGATGCCGCTTCCGGAAGTCCATTCTGGGCCTGGGCAACAAAAAATTAGCTACCGGTTCTGCCGAAGTGGTGCGAACTGGCTGAATCCCACCACTGCCTTAACCACTTCATAACACTCACTGTCTTTTCTACTTTTTACGGGCTGGTAAAAATCTCAACCTTTCCAATTTGTCCTTATCGTCCTGTTCTTCTCTGTTCCCAAACTACATCACCTTTCGCCATCCCCTTCACTCACTGGAATCAGCAGCAGGCTGGGGCTTCTTCTGCAGCTCAGGCCCAATCTCATCCAATTTCCCTTCCAGAGACCGATTGGGTTTCTGGGATACTTTCTCCAGGGCTCGGCGCAGCCGACGGGAGTCCAACTCGCCATGCGGGGAAGAGAAACTACGCCCAGACATGGCAGTCTTAGCCAGGGCTTTCTTCTTACGCATCAACTCTTCAGAGCTCAGGGCAATGGGTACCTTCAGGGAGAGGGAAAGAGACAAGGGTCCAAAAATGGAAACCTCGGGAAAGGATTTAAGAAAGACAAATGAGTTTCCTTGTACAGATCCAGGAAGGACCTAGATGTCCTTTATGCAAGAGTGAGGATAATGATGGTAACAACAGTAACAGAATAACAGCTGAAAGGGACCTTGGGGGTCTTCTAGCCCAGGGGTGTCAAACTCAATTTCATTGAGGGCCGCATCAGCATGGCAGTTGCCCTTGGGGGGCCGAGTGGGTGTGGCCAGGGTGGGTGCGGCCTACTGAGTGGGTGTGGATGGAGTGGGTGTGGCCTACTGGGTGGGCATGGCCAGCTCTACATCCTTCGCGTCAAGGGTGCCTGTGGGGGCCTGGGCAGGAGTGGGACAGATCTGAGGGTCTCTGGCAGAAGGGGGTGGGACCGGGGCAAGCGCCAAGGCATGGTCCATTTCTTCATTCCTCACAAAGGGTGACACCTCCACAGCATGCACCCAGGGGGCGGGGCCGACGCAGCAGGGGCCGGTTCCTCGCTGTTTCCGGACAGCCTTGTGGAGCTAAGACTGAATGCATTTCAGCATAGATGGCCACCACAAAATTGTACATTGGCTCCCGGCCGGCCTGGGCCAGGGCCAAGGCAGCGGGGGCCGTTCCCTCACTGTTTCCAGGATGGCTTCGCGGGCCACATGAAACCACTTCGCGAGCCGCATCCGACCCCCGGGCCTTGTGTTTGACATGTCTGTTTTAGCCCAACCTCCTGCTCAGGCAGGAAATCCTGTACCACTTCAGACAAGTGGTTGTCCACTCTGTCTTTAAAAGCCTCCAGAGTTGGAGCATCCACAACTTCCAGAGGCAAGTCATTCCATTGGTTAATTGTTATAAATGTCAGGAAATTTCTCCTTAGTTCTAGGTTGCTTCTCTCCTTGATTAGTTTCCACCTGTTGCTTCTTGTCCTGCCTTCAGGTGCTTTGGAGAATAGCTTGACTCCCTCTTCTTTGTGGCAGCTCCTGAGATATTAGAACACTGCTATCATGTCCCCCCTCATCCTTCTCTTCATTAAACTAGACATAAGTTGACACCCCCCTCTTCTTTGCCCCTTAGATATTGGAACACTGCTCTCATGTCATAGCAAAAATGACCGTCATCACCATCATTATAAAGCATAGATGGGGGATGACGAATTCAGAATTCAGAGAAAGAATTGGAGCCTTCCAGCAATTATTTGCACAACTGACTGAGTAATGGATGGAAACTAGTCAAAGAGAGAACCAACCTAGAACTCTTCTTCTTCTTGTGCCATATCTGTTATTGGACGTTAGTGATCATGTTGGCGATCCTGTTTTTATCAGCAGCCGCACGAAAAAATGCTGCTGAGTTTTATCCAAACCAGTCCCTTAGATTTTGAAGCCATGGTGTTCTTCTTCCTAGAACTAAGGAGAATTTTTCTAACAGAACCATTAATCAGTGGAACATCTTGCCTCCAGAAGTTGTGGCTGCTCCATCACTGGAGGTTTTTAAAAATTGGACAACTATTTGTCTGAAATGGTATAGGGCAGTGGTGGTGAACCTATGGCATGGGTGCCAGAGGCGGCACACGGACCCCTCCCTGTGGGCACACGTGCCGTTGCCCCAGCCTTGCCTCCCCCCGCAACCCCCTCCTCTCCAGAAGCCCCCCTGAAGGAGAGTCGCCCTCGAGGGTGGCCCACAGGGAGCAGTGCAGCCAAGGACATGGCAGCCAGGCAGCGTAGACAATACTCTGCCCTCACACCCCATCATACAGTTGATGCTGCAGGGCGCGGGCAGAAGGTGTGGCCGCCATAGCGCTGCTGGGCTGCCTGGGCGATCTGTGGCGGGCCCTGGAGGCGGTGAGTGGTCCTGTGGGCAGGCAGGGGATGGGGGGCACAGCGGGGGCAGGGCCAGTTTTGGGACACTTGGTCTCTAAAAGGTTCGCCATCACTGACATAGGGTCTCCTGCTTGAGCAGGGGGTTGGACTAGAAGACCCCCAAGGTCCCTTCCAACTCTGTTCTTCTGTTGTCTCTACAAAATGCTGGAGAAGGTAAGAGTTTTGGGGTTCCTCACCTTAGCCGCAGCCCTAGTCTGAGACTGGGTTAGTGGAGCAGACTTAGTGGAGGAGTTGCAGAGAGACACACTCTTCTGTCCTTGCTGTGAGGTGCTTTCAAGAGTCTGGGCTAAGGAGCCTTCCTCTGGAGGTACATCTCTGGAGCCGGTAGACTCACTGCTGGTAGAGCTGTGGCATAAGCCCTGGCTAGGGTCAGTGCTGACGGAGCAGTGAGTAAGCACATATTGCTCCTGGATGTAGGAAGGCTGGTAAATCCGCTTCCAGATGTCTCCTCCAGACACAGGATCTCCACCTGCCAGGGAGAATAATTTACGGTGACCGGCTTGGAGAAATTTGCCAAGTTACGCCTCAGCTGGAGAGGTCAAGAAGGGAATTAGATCTTTCTCTATGCAAAGATGTGCTCTTAATTAAAAGCACCCTTTTTTTTTACGCCTTGATTAATTCAAAGGGGAAATTCACTGCGCAAAAGTCCAGAGACACATAAACAAAAGCCTCGGGGGGGGGGGGGCCTCTCGTCTCGGAAAGCCTCAGGGACAAGATATCGTTAAGAGGGAGAATGATCATGGTTGCAATTAGGACTTCAATGTTCCTGGGATCATTTATTAAATCGTCACATCCATTTTTAATGTGACCGAAAGGGAAACTATTAAACGGTAGTACAGAGTGGCGAGTTAACCCTTTTTGCTGTAGTTTCGTTTTAATGTCATGTAAATGCTAATAAAATTACATCGCAGGGTTTGTTTGTTTGTTTTGGTCCTATTACAGTACTTTTGGTAATGTGGACCTTCAGCACCACGATGCACCTTCAGTCTGGGGAAAAAAGGGTGCACCCCACTGCATTAGCTCTGCAGCAAATTCTGTATTTTTTAGACCCACAAGCACTGACGATGTTGCCCAGTTTGGGTAATGAAATGTCTGCAAGAAAACAGCCAAGCTCAGAGAGTACTGTGGGAAGTCAGCTCCCCAGAGAAGGAAATATTAAAAGGGTAGAAAAATATATTTCCTCAAAAGGGTTTTTAAAAGCAGAAACCAACCCTGCCCCCAAGTCTCTCTGTCCCAAGCAGGAGCCAGCTCTGTACAAATGCAGATGTAAACCACCAGAAAGGCCCCAGCTAGGAGATCAAGAAGACAAAGACCTAAAATCTGCATACCCCACCCAAACTCTAGGAGCCGTTAGCCCCATCACCAGGGAAGCAGAATATGATAATAGGACTAACCCCTCACCATAAAGAATACCAGAGAGGCACACCTAAACTCAGGTCAGAATACGTGACACAGGAAATATCCTCAAAGTTCATGCCACAGGAACAGGAAACTATTCCAAACAAAAGGCTAGAGAGGGTATAAAAACCTACTACCCATGTGCTCAGCCCTTCTTTTCTCTGGTCTTTCCTGCAAGAACCATCTTTCTGCCTCTTCAATAAACTGCAACTTTCTTTCTAAAGCAGTCGCCATGTTGTTTATTTATCCCCGGCTTGGATGAACCAGGATGAAGACTTTTCTTCCCACAGTACCAAGACCCCTGAACACTATCCAATCCCAAGTTGCGATCTCCTTTAAAATGGATATGAATATTGCCTTCCGAGGCCTGCACTTACTCTTCATAGACTCATCGGTGTCCCCAGGTGAAAACTTTGTAGATATTTCCTGGGAAATGTCGTGAGGGCCCTTGCAGCACTCTGGATTATCTCCAGCTGAAGGTGGGAGGGCTCCATCCTGTCCTTCTATCTCCTCCTGGGATGGAAAGGCCGGCCCTGCAGATCCTCTAGAAAAACTTCGACAGATTTGCTCTCTGCCCTAAGGAACATGGTAACAAAAAAAAAACAATACGGGTAAGCCTTGACTTACAGCCATTTGTTTAGTGACCATCGGAAGTTACAGAGGCACTGGAAAAAGTTGACTCATGACCATTCCTCGCATTTATGGCCATCACAGCAACCCCTACGGTCATGGGATCAAAATTCAGCTGCTTGGGCAACCAGCATGTATTTACAATGGTTGCAGGGTACCCGGGTCACGTGATGGCCATTTGCAACCCCTGGATGCCGACGAGCCAAGTCAATGGGAGAAGCCAGATTCGCTTAAGGACCGCGTGGCTCACTTCGTAACTTCAGTGCTTCGCTTAACAGCTGCAGCAAAAAAAGTCACAGGCTTACTTAACAACTGGCTCGCTTAGCTAGAGCAGGGCTTTCCAACCAGTGGTACGGGTACCACCTGTGGTACATTGGCACCTGGCAGGTGGTACGGGACCATCCTAGGAAAGTGGTAGCGGGGGAGGGGAATGAGCTGAACCGGTGACAGCACCGCACAAGCCTGAGCGAGAGATGGCTGGAGCTGCAGGGCTGTCAGGGCTCAGTGGAAGTGCCAGGATCAGCGCCAGGCTCCAGCTGGAAAGCAGCACTGATCCTGGCGCTTCTGCTGAGCCCAGAAGAAACACCAATCAGCTGGAAAGCAGCACTGATCCTGGTGCTTCTGCTAAGCCCAGAAGAAGTGCCAGAATGAGCTGGAATGTTGCAGCATCTCCAGGGTCTTGTGATTTACATTCAGATGCTTGGCAACTGATTCATATTTATGACGCTCACAGTGTCCCAGAGTCATGTGAAGTGACCAAAACCTGCTGCAACCACCCAGCAGACGGGGGGAATAAAAACCAAACACCCCCCCATCCCACCTCCACTGCCAATCCCCAACAGAAATGCTCACAACAATGAAAACCTCGGACAGGAGGAAGAGCGTGGCCGGGCAGGCAGGCAGGTGTCTTGCTCGGCTGTGGCTTGGGGGGCACTTTTTTCAGTGTCATTGTAACTTCGAACAGTCATTAAGCGAACTGTCAAGGACTACCTGTACTTTATCACTTTTTTCCTTTTTTGGGGCGGGGGTCATTAAGTTTTTGACACCTTGCTAGGCGACTGGTGGTACTCGGAGGTTGCCATATCCTAAAAGTGGTACAATGGGTGAAAAGGTTGAAAAGCCCTGAGCTAGAGAAATTCTGCTCCCAACTGTTAAGCCGAGGGTCGCTTGTGCATTTGTACCACGCGTGAAATGAAAACCCCGATACGAAGAAATAATGGCTCTTCCCCCCCCCAAGGATTGCGACAGGCCAACTAAGCTTTGGGCGTGTTGGATCCAGGGGATGGTCACAAAGTGAAACCCAGGGATGATATGTCATCTACTTTTGAAGGAAACAATTGCTCAACTGTTGCTTTCTTGTCCCGGAAGCTGGCAATGTGGTAGAGGGTGCAGTAGCTGATGAGCCGGTCTCCGGGATAAAGGGCCGCGATCTCATTGGGTGACAGCAGGGCCTCCATGGTGTCAGGCACGTACCAGTCAATGGTGATGTCACTCACAGCTGGCTCAATGGCTTTCTTCAAGGACTTTATCAGCTGGGGGCAAAGCATATTGAACATTCAGCTACGGCAGTCCACGCTCTACTTAACGGACCTGGTGGCGAAGAGGTTGAGTTCTCCGCCAATCAAGTGGAACTCAAAATATCAAAATTCTTCACCAATCAGATGGAACTCAAAATATCATGGGCAACAAGGAAGGAGAAGCCCACATTTGAAAAAGTGCTGGGAAAACTCCAGAAGGTGACATATGGAAGGAGATGGTGGTTTTGTTGAACTTAACATGCCTATCCCAAGGGTGTTTTTCCAAAAGGCAACTGGACTTTCTTGGTTTTGTCATCCATGAAAAACATTTTGCCTCTCATCCAAGAAGCTTCTTCAGAACTGAAGATGCTTCTTGGATGAGAAGTGAAATGTTTTCAAGGAAAAAAACAACAAGAAAGTCCAGTTGCCTTTTGGAAAAGCACCTTTGAGACAACCATAACTGGATGATGGAGAATCTCCATAGACATTTAACATGGCTGTGTTCCCAGTTGCAATGTATGGCTGTGAAAGTTGGATCATAAGAGTGCCAAAGAATTGAGGCCTTTGAACTAAGGTGTTGGAGAAGACTCCTGCGAGTCCCCTGGACTGCAAGGCGATCAAATCGGTCAGTCCTAGAGGAGATCAACCCCGACTGCTCTTTAGAAGGCCAGATCCTGAAGTTGAAACTCAAATGCTTTGGCCACCTAATGAGAAGGAAGGACTCACTGGAGAAGAGCCTGATGCTGGGAAAGATCAAGGGCAAGAGAAGAAGGGGACGACAGAGAATGAGGTGGCTGGATGGAGTCCCTGAAGCAGGAGGCGTGAGCTTAAATGGACTCCAGGAGATGGTAGAGGACAGGAAGGCCTGGAGGAACGTTGTCCATGGGGTCGCGATGGGTCGGACATGAATTTGCAACTAACAACAACAACGTTACTGTATTCTTCCTCCTATCCAAAACCCTTACTTGTTGGGCCCAATTTGTCTGATATCCTTACTGTCACAGCCCTTTCAGCCCTCATGTGCCAAAAGATTTTTGGAAAATGATCATCTCTGTGCTTTCCAGGAATAGCAATGACATGCTGGTAACATGGTAAAGACAACATTTCTCATAGGTGATACACAGTTCATCAGCCTTGGTGCTCTATAATGCGCAGGGTCTGATGACGGGTTAAATGCCTACCACCCAAACCTGGTGATTCGGAACCTGTGATCAAATAAAAAGCATTATCCAAGGAATAAGAGCCCCACCTTAGGCTGCAATCTTTCTCCCGGGCTGAGGAATTCTGCCTGGCCTCTGCTAACTTTGGCCAATCTCCTGAGGAGCTGATGGCAGGCAGCAGACCCCAGGCCAAAAGTGAAACACCTGTAAGAAAGAAAGGGCTGGACTTCAGAGACAGAACGGCCACTCCTTTGTATTCATCCCATTCCAAATTGTGCACGTTGCGTACACTGGTCCTGCCATGCCACATCTTTATGGCTGCCAAATGTCCTTATCAGCCATTTGTAGAAGTTGAAGCTGCGACTTATTATTATTATTATTATTATTATTACTTTAATTTATACCCCGCCCTTCTCCCGAGGGACTCAGGGCGGCTTACAGGTAAGTAAAAACAGAGCTATACAATAAATATCTAAAAGCCAAATTAAAATATATATTAGATAACCTGTATTAGAAAAATTATAAAATCCCTATTAAAATCCCTATAAAATCCCCCCCCTAGGCCAATCCCGCTTGATGGAAAAGCCATGTCTTGAGGGCACGGCGGAAGGAGGGGAGATCCGGAATAATCCGGATCTCTGGGGGGAGTTCATTCCACAGGGTGGGGGCTCCCACAGAGAATTAATTCCAACTGCTCTTCGAGTGTGAATTGGCTGACTGCAAATGGCATCATAAAATAATAACTGAATAACAGAGTTGGAAGGGACCTCGGAAGTCTTCTAGTCCAACCCCCTGCTCAAGCAGGAAACGCTATAAAAGTGGTGGCGAACCTATGGCACGGGTGCCAGAGGCGGCACTCGGAGCCCTCTCTGTGGGCACACGTGCCGTTGCCCCAGCCTTGCCTCCCCCCGCGACCCCCTCCTCTCTAGCAGCCCCCCTGAAGGAGAGTCGCCCCCGAGTGTGGCCCACGTGGAGCAGCGCAGCCAAGGACATGGCAGCCAGGCAGTGTAGACAAAACTCTGCCCTCACACCCCATCATGCACAGTTGATGCTGCAGGGTGCGACCGCCATGGCGCTGCTGGGCTGCCTAAGCGATCTACGGTGGGCCCTGGAGGCGGTGAGTGGCCCTGTGGGCAGGCAGGGTGGGGGCGGAGCAGGGTCGTGGCAGGGGGTGGAACGGGGGCGTGGCCAGTTTTTGGGCACTCGGTCTCTAAAAGGTTCACCATCACTGCGCTATAACATTCCAGACAAATGGCTGTCCAATCTCTTCTTTAAAACCTCCAGTAATGGAGCACCTGCAACTTCCAAAGTCAAGAGGTTCCACTGATTAATTGTTCTAACTGTCAAGAAGTTTCTCCTTAGTTCTAGGTTGCTTCTCTCCTTGATTAGTTTCCATCCGTTGCATCTTCTCCTGCCTTCAGGTGCTTTGGAGAATAGCTTGACTCCCTCTTCTTTGTGGCAGCCCTTCAAATATTGGAAGGCTGCTATCATGTCACCCCTGATCCTTCTTCTTCTTAAACTGGACATACTCGATCCCTGCCACTGTTTTCATATGTTTTAGCCTCCAGTCCCCTAGATATGTCTCATCACGCAAATGACGCAGATTGTATCATTTGGGACAGCTGTGTTATGCAATGGACAACAGTGGCATGCGCCACATCATTTGGGCGATGCTACTGTGATCCCCTTTCCGGTTTGAAAGTGTACTCCATTCTACCCTTACATGGGAGGGGGGAGGTCCCGCCTCAGTGTCTGCAAAATTGGTCCTACAAGTTTTCAGTGTGGTTTATTTTGAACTCCAGGTGAGTTGTTTGCGGCAGGTATCTGTTGGCTTAAACCTCACAATATGGAAATTTCTCTCCCTCGAGGTGATTCTAGGGCCAGACATCTGGGTAGATAAATTTACAGCCTGGGAACAGAAAAGCCTAACGTTTGTGGCCGGTTCGTATTACTTCATACCTGACCGTGCTTGCTTGTCTCCGGACTAGCTCAATAACCTTGCCTGGGTTTTCTACGCTGGAATCCATCAAGATAAAGAGCTGCCGTGGATATCCGCGGTGGAGAGGCTGTCCCAAACTCCAGTTCAGAGCAGCAAGGAGGCTGGTCCCGCTCACATCAGCCCGTAGCTTCTGAATATATTCGCAGGCCAGCCTAAGGATGTCCTGGGGAGATAGAGAGCAGTTTACAGAGACAATCTAACGCAGGGGTCTTCAAACATGGCCCTTCTATGACTTGTGGACTTCAACTCCCAGAATTCCTCAGCCTAACCTAAGGAGCTATTCACATTTTTTTTTTGCAATAAAGTAGGACAGGTAACACTGTTTGCAGACAGTGACTGCCCTTCTTCATTGGGGCATTTGTGGTCTCTGAGGGCATGGCGGTTCAAGGTGTATGCAGTGGTGGGATTCAGACGGTTCACACCGGTTCGGGAGAACCGATAGCTAAATTTACCTGAATTCGGAGAACTGGCTGGCTTCTGAAAGTCCAGTCTAGGCCTTGGAGGCCTCCCAGGTCTAGAATGGCCCACCGGAAGTGCATGGATACCACTTCCGGAACTCCGTTCTAGGCATTGGAGGCCTGGAGGAGGACTAGAACGGCCCACCGGAAATGCATGATGCCACTTCCGGAAGTCCGTTCTAGGCCTCGGAGGCCCAGGCCTGCATCCAATAAGAGAACCGGTTGTTCAGCTATTTGAACACCACTGCATAGGGCAGATCACAAATGGTGATCACATGACCCCTGGACGCTGCAACCACTTTAAATACATGTCAAGTGCCAAATGTGAATTTTGATCATGTGACCGTACTGATGCTGCCACGGTGGTAAGCATGTGGACCAGCCTCATGTTCCTTTTTTAGTGCCGTAGTAACTTGACATGATCGCTAAATGAATGGTTGTTAAGGAGTACCTGCACACAAACAATGATCTCGGAAAGGCCGGTTGTGAATAAATTAATAGGCATTCCCAGGGATCATAGGACAGATTTTTCACGCCTTGCATTCTAGCCCATTGCTAGACCCGCTCATCTATATAAATAAAAATGTAAATGTTTGTTTGTTCAAAATCTTAAATCTCCGAAAGTTCTTCACCGATTGCTTTGAAATTTTGACACGTTGCATTCGAATACGCGCGTGTTTTTATATACATATACCTACTATTATATAGATGTCACACCTGTGACAGGTAAAAACATGCTTTTTTTGAAAAACAGTGCCATCTGTTGGACGTAAAAGCAACACACTTCTTTTCCATTTAACCAGACTGAGCCACAGCAACGCATGGCCGGGTACAGCTAGTTTCAAAATAAATGAAGACCAGCTAGGCTATTTTTACCCTTTGGCCAACTCGGTGAATTCAATTTACCAGGCACAGAATTCAAAGTTACCCACAAGACTTGGTTATCCTTATCAAAGGGTTGATCAATAGGTGATCAGAATGGCTGAGAGAGAAGATCTGCAATGGGGCCGAACGTTCTTCCTGTAAAGCAGGGGTCTTCAAACTTGGCCCTTTTATGACTTGTGGACTTCAGCTCCCAGAATTCCTCAGCCAGGCACCCGTGCCTGGCTGAGGAATTCTGGGAGTTGAAGTCCACCAGTCGTAAAAGGGCCAAGTTTGAAGACCCCTGCTGTAAAGGGTAGCAAAGCCAGCAGTAATTGGCCAAACCAGGGTCTCCTGGAACACACACCGAATTCTGCACAGATTCCCAGCTCAGCCCCGGAATGGTTCTGCCAGCTTGGAGAGGGTACTCACATTATTACAAGGCTTGCTCGTCTTGAAGGCCGGTCTGATGTTGGGGCCAAAGCCCGCCACATTCAACAAGCTGCTGGAAGGAAGGCTCTTCATGGCCACCAGCAGAGCATTCTGCACAGGAAAAGGGAGAGAAGGTCAAGGTTACCATGTGGATGTATTTCTTGCCTTTCCTCCGGGTGCAAAAGATGGCATGATGGGGGCGACAGGATAGCAGTCTTCCAATATCTCAGGGGCTGCCCCAAAGAAGAGGGAGTCAGGCTATTCTCCAAAGCGCCTGAAGGCAGGACAAGAAGCAACGGGTGGAAACTAATCAAGGAGAGAAGCAACCTAGAACTAAGGAGGAACGTTCTGACAGCTAGAACAATTAATCAATGGAATGACTTGCCTCTTGGAGTTGTGGGTGTTCCATCACTGGAGGTTTTTAAGAAGAAGCTGGGCAACCATTTGTCTGAAATAGTATAGGGTCTCCTGCTTGAACAGGGGGTTGGACTAGGAGACCTCCAAGGTCCCTTCTAAGTCTGTTATTCTGTTATTGTTAGGTTCTATAGCACACACTTATCCCCACCATGACAACTACGTGAAGGAGGCAGGGCTGAAAGGAAGCAACGAGTCCAAAGCCACTCAGAGACTTCTGTGGCTGAGGGGAGACCTGGAGCTTCCTGGTACCAATTCACTTTCACCACTTCACTACACTTTCACTTGGGCCGGGGTGGAGACTGGCCCAAAGTCCTTAGAGAGCTTCTGTAGCTAAGGGAGGACTTGAACCTGGGTCTCCCCGTTCATAGTCCAGCACCTTCATCAGTAAACCATTCTGGCTCTTAGTCTGAGAAATTGAATTAAAAGATGGCAGGAGAAGGCCATTGAACGAGGAATAACATTAAAAGAGGATCTGGCTGAAGGTCCGACTCCCTTATACTACTTTGAGGACCTTGGACAAGTTGGAGATTGGAGCACTTAAGTGTAGGACCAATCTGCTCAAGTGGAAGCTGTTAGCGGATAGCCACACACCGAGTGAATGCCGAGAGAAGCAGATCTGCCATGCATGGTATGTTGGTTAACCAGAAACATGTACCGAAAACGGTTTGTTTTTGGCCGACGGTCAAACCAGGAAGGTGGCTTCATTTTGGCAGTCTAAAGTTTGATCTGGGCACAGAAGAAGGCTGAGAAATAAGAATTCTCAAAGTCACCCAATAATAATAATAATAATAATAATAATAATAATAACAACAACAACAACAACAACAACAACAACAACAGATAAATAAATAAATAAATAAATAAATAAAGTCGGAAGGGACCTTGGAGGTCATCAAGTCCAACCCCCTGCTCAGGCAGGAAACCCTACACCATTTCGGACAAATGGCTGTCCAGTCTCTTCTTAAAAACTTCCAGTGTTGGAGCATTCACCGCTTCTGGAGGCAGGTTGTTCCACTGGTTAATTGTTCTAACTGTCAGGAAGTTTCTCCTTAGTTCTAGCTTGCTTCTCTCCTTGATCAGTTTCCATTCATTGCTTCTTGTCCTGCCTTCAGGCGCCTTGGAAAATAGCTTGACTCCCTCTTCTTTGGGGCAGCCCCTGAGATATTGAAATACTGCTATCATGTCCCCCCTCGTCCTTCTCTTCATTAAACTAGACATACCCAATTCCAGCAGCCGTTCCTTATGTGTTTTAGCCTCCAGTCCCCTAATCATCTTTGTTGCTCTTCTCTGTATCTAAGCTCCTTAAGGAACAGAACGGAGGTCTCCCATCACTGCTATGCAGTCCTCATTTTCTAGCCCTTACTTTATTTATTTATTTCAATTTCTAGAACTGCCCATTTCACGAGAGCAACTCTAGGAGGTGACCAAGCCCATTGCAAGTGCTTTCTCAGAACAATGAGGGAGATAAAAAATAAAAGGAAAAAATAAAATTATTTTTTTAAAAAATCCACATCACGTGGCAGTATCCAGCTGCCTTGCTTCATTCACCTCATAAGGCCAGGTAAGGCCAAACCTGGCTAGCAACTGAAGGTGAGCTTTTCAGAAAAACCTAGGCCAGGCAGATGTGCTGAAAAAAAGAAACATCATGGAAGACAGCAGTGGCAAATCACTTCTGCACTGAGGCTAAGAAAACTGAATGTGAGGCTCAACTCTAAGGAAAATTGACCTTGCTCTTCACATTAACATTGGGACCACAAAATTCACAATCCAGATTAAGTCCTTCATGCTTACTTTTGAGTTAGAAAAAAAAACCCCATCGTAGTTAGTATTTAAAAAAAAATGTCTAAAATTGTCCATCTGGGACATTTTCCTTACTCCAACAAGACAACTTCTAAAAGTTGTCATTAAGTGGTAACTGTAATGTGACACAAGGGGCAAACTGTTAAGTACGCGCTGGGGAATAATCATATTAAAGAATGCCAGGCAATGAACTTAGACCAGTGTTGGCGAACCTATGGCACGGGTGCCAGAGGCGGCACTTGGAGCCCTCTCTGTGGGCACACGTGCCATTGCCCCAGCCTCACCTCTCCCCGCGACCCCCTCCTCTCCAGCAGCCCCCCTGAAGGAGAGTCGCCCCTGAGTGTGGCCCACGTGGAGCAGCGCAGCCGAGGACATGGCAGCCAGACAGCGTAGACAAGAGTCTGCCCTTAAACCCCATCGTGCAGTTGATGCTGCAGGGCGCGGGCACAGGGCGTGACCACCATAGCGTTGCTGGGCTGCCTGGGCGATCTGCAGTGGGCCCTGGAGGCGGTGAGTGGCCCTGCGGGCAGGCGGGGTGGGAGATGGGGGGCGGAGTGGGGGCGGGGCAGGGGATGGAGTGGGGGCGGGGCCAGTTTTGGGGCACTCGGTCTCTAAAAGGTTTGCCATCACTGACTTAGACTAACTCATTCCAGAAAGGCAATGGGAAATCACTTCTACGAATCTGTTAAGAGAACTGCCTGGATAGAGTCATGGAGTTGGGTTGAACTCAACTCAAGGGTGTCTTTATCCAACGGTCTGGGCTCTCTAAAAGGCCACTAATGCAAGATTCCATTTACTTTGATCCCATCGATGCTGGGGCCACTTGCGCTTCCTGTCTGGTCAATGAGGAAGAAGATCTCCCTGGTCACCGTCTGGATGTCAGTAGAAACACTGCTTATCCTGGGGCAGAAATTCAGCATCAGGACAGGATTGTAGAAAATGTCTTTGTGGAATCTCTTCTGGACAAAGGCAATCTAGGAGCAGAGAAAAGAAGTTCCGTAAAGGCGGTCTTAAAATCTGGGATTTTTTTTCCCCCGCTGAGATGGACACCTCTGGCCAGCTGTGAAGGATCCAAATCTCTTGATGGTTGCATCAGGGAAAGTCCATCTAGCCGAGCATGTTTCCATTTGCCTCTCGGAGGTTTTTAAGTAAGCCTCTTTCTTTCCACCAACTTCTTTGGGGAGTTGTATTTACATTAAAATAGAGCAGTGGCCTTCAAACTTGGCTACTTTAAGACTTGTGGACTTCAACTCCCAGAATTCCTCGCTGGCTGAGGAATTCTGGGAGTTGAAGTCCACAAGCCTTAAAGTTGCCAAGTTTGAAGACCCCTGAAATAGAGGCTCCACCATTTATCTATCATGGGTAGCGGGCATTGAAAGACCTATCCCTAGATGGAACTAAATACAGGTAATCCTTCACTTACAACCGTTTGTTTAGTGACTACTCGAAGCTACAACAGCACTGAAAAATGCGACTTACGGCCATTTTTCACACGACCACTGCAGCATCCCCGTGGTCACATAATCAAACTTTGGGCACTTGGCAACTGGCATGTACTTATGATGGTTGCACTGTCCTGGGGTCATTGTGATCGCCATTTGTAGCCTATCCAGCCATCTTCCGACAAACAAAGCCAAAGGGGGAAGCCCGATTTGGCTTAACGATTGCACGACTCACTTAACAATGCAGCGATTCGCTTAACAACCACGGGGGAAAAAAGTTTGTAAAATGTTGCGCCACTGCCTGGCTTAGCAACAGAAATTTGGGGCTCTGTTGTGGCTGTAAGTCGAGAACTACCTGTAATCATTCTGAAGGGAAAACATTTTCATCTAACGTGCTAGAGAAAAAGCTAGATTAGATATGGGGGGGGAAGGAGTTTTTCATCGTAAGGAAACTTTGGCTGTCCGCGGTATTTTTAGATTACTCCAAAAGAGATGTTAAAATTGCAAAATGCAATCGATATTAAAAGTATCTGCAGTCACAGAAACGCAGCCTGAGAATCAGTAGTTAACCAGCAATCCATAATGAGAGCACTAGATACACTACAGCAAAATTGATAAGTCTCAAAAGCCTTAAGGGAAAAAAACCGCATCTTCACCCTTTGCTTCAAAGGCAGGTAGTCCTGGACTTACGACTACAACTGGGCTCAAAATTCCTTTTGCTAAGCAAGACATTTCTTAAGTGAGTTTTGTCCCACTTATGACCTTTCTTGCCTTGGTTGTTAGGTGAATTACTGCGGTTGTTAAGTTAGTAACACAGTGTCAACGCTGCTAACATCGGACGTTCTTGCTTTGACAATAGATGGAAATGCAGCCATTTTCCTCTATTGCTTTTAGAGTTAGTTGATGCTGGGAGGGGGAATGTGGATGAGAGTCCAGCTAGTCATAACAATAATAACTCAGCCGTGGGAACCCAAGGTCATTGGGCCCAGAGTTGATAGAGTTTTGGCGGGCTGGAGAGCTGGGGAGAAAGCCTGCGCTTCAAGCTAATTGGGGAATGTGATTTATGACTGTTTATTGGAGGAGGGAATTGTGCTTTGTTGCTTTGTATCCAGGGGAGGGGAATTTAGTTTTTTGTTTCGACTATGTAGTGCCGATATGTTGTTTCTCGAATAAAAGATTCTTTAAGGTAAACAATGCCTCGAAGTTCTTTTGAAGAGTTTCATCTGTCAGAACCATGACACAAGGTTAAGTGAATCAGGCTTCCCCCTTGACTTTGCTTGTCAACAGATCGCAAAAGGGGATCACGTGACCCTGGGGCACCGTGACTGTCAGAAATATGAATCAGTTGCCAAGCCTCTGAATTTTGATCATGGTGATCCTGGGAATGTTGCAGTGGTCTTAAAATGATGATAAGTCACTTTTTTCAGGGCTGTTGTAACTTTGAACGGTCACTAAAAGAACTGTTGTAAGACGAGGACGGCCTGCACAATTGTGAGGAAACGTGTATAGCTCTGCTTCAGGAAATTTTTTCATCACTGTGTTGAAATAAATGCCGGAAATAAATCAGCTCAACTCTGATCACAGGTGAAGACGAGAATGGGAATTGGAGCTGAACAAACATCCCACATGAAAGTACCTCATCTAAGGGATTGCTAGTGTGTCCTTATCATTCAAATCTATCTTTACACTAACTGTACATGGCCTGGACAAGGCACTTACCTGTCTCTCTCCATCGCTGTCCTTCTTGGCAATCCGTGCATAATCCCAGCGGTTCCTTATGTGTGCCTCATATTCATGATAAGTCATGGCACCATCTTCAATGATTAGGTGGGGATGATGAGGTTCTTCAGGGAAAAAGGGAGGAAGATACACAACCGTCAGAATAATTCAGAAGTATCAGAATAAAAGAGTTGGACGGGACCTTGGAGATCTTCTGATCCAACCCACTGATCAAGCAGGGGACCCTATACCAGGGGTAGGCAACCTGGGCTCTTTTATGATTCGTGGACTTCAACTCCCAGAATTCCTGAGCCAGCATGGCTTAGCTTGAAAACCTCTCCCTTTCCCCTCAGCATGGCTGGCTCAGGAATTCTGGGAGTTGAAGTCCACGAGTCATAAAAGACCCAAGATTGCCTACCCCTACCCTATACCATTTCAGAAAATGGCTGTCCAATCTCTTCTTAAAAAACTCCAGTGATGGAATACCCACAACTTCTGGAGAAAAGCGGTTCCACTGGTTGATTGTTCTAACTATCAGGAAATTTCTCCTTATTTGGCTGTCCAGTCTCTTCTTAAAAACTTCCAGTGTTGGAGCATTCACCGCTTCTGGAGGCAGGTTGTTCCACTGGTTAATTGTTCTAACGGTCAGGAAGTTTCTCCTTAGTTCTAGGTTGCTTCTCTTCTTGATTAGTTTCCATCCATTGCTTCTTGTCCTGCCTTCAGGTGCTTTGGAGAAGAGCTTGACTCCCTCTTCTTTGTGGCAGCCCCTGAGATACTGGAACACTGCTATCATGTCCCCCCTCGTCCTTCTCTTCATTAAACTAGACATACCCAATTCCAGCAACCGTTCCTTATATGCTTTAGCCTCCAGTCCCCTAATCATCTTTGTTGCTCTTCTCTGTACTCTTTCTAGAGTCTCAACCTCTTTTTTACGTCTTTTTACATCTAGTAAGACTTTCTGATAAGTGATTTTGGCTAATGAAGGAAAAGGCTTGGGAAGCGCTGCCTTAGTTGCTATACCCCAGGACCTTGTTTAGACCCCTGGCTTTGAGGGATCTTCTCACCCGAAGGATGCAAGATGATTTCCAGATTCTTGTCGTAACGGTGCTTATCTGCCAAGGTAATGCATATCGTTGATGCGGAACTGGCGTATGGATTTGCATCAGCTCGAAGGGCATGAGAAGGGCTTTCTAGTCCTGCAGGAATGAAGGGAGAGAAGAAAGAGAAATATTGACTTGCCGAGATGTCACGTACTTGAAAACAAAAAAAAGGTAAAGGTTTCCCTCTGAGTTGGATCCGACTCTAAGGCACAGTGCTCGTCTCCATTTTTTGGGCTGAAGGTACTAGCATTGTCCAAAGACATTTTCCATAGTCATGTGGCCAACATGGCTATACGCCATAGGGGCACAGAACGCTGTTACCTTCCCACCAAAGTGGTACCTATTAATCTATTCGCTGTCAACGCTGCTAACATCGGATGTGTTTGCTTTGACAAGAGTTAGATCACTGATGGCGAACCTTTTAGAGACCGAGTGCCCAAACTGCAACCCGAAACCCATTTATGTATCGTCGGGTGCTGGGTGGGTATGTCCCATTGTCTGGGTGTGGCCAATTGGGTGGCTGTAGCCAATTGGGTGGGCGTGGCCCATTGGGTGGGCGTGGCTGCAGTGGTAACAGCAGACTGGGTGGGACTAAAAAGTTCAATCAATCAATTGCAACTTTGCGAGATCTTTTTTTTTTCCTGCGAGAAGTTGAAATTGATTGATTGATTGAAATTTTTGTTTTTGTACATGGCTAAAGTGAAAAGGGTTTATAAAACCCAGCTGAAAGTCTAGGACTGGGGCGACGGCGCGCGTGCCCACAGAGAGGGCTCTGAGGGCCGCCTCTGGCACCCGTGCCATAGATTCGCCACCACGGAGTTAGATGATGCTGGGGGGGGGATTGTGCATGAGAGTTTAGATAGGCATAATAACACTGGACTTAGTGTATGAGCCAAGGTTATTGAAATAAGAGATGATAAGAAATGGAGGGCTGGAGAAATGAAGGGAAAGCCTGTATTTCAAACTAATTGGAGAACGTGATTTATGACTGTTAATTGGAGGAGGGAATTGTGCTTTGATACTATGGGCTCAGGGGAGGGGAATCCAGTTTTTGGCTTCGACTACGTTAGTGCCGATGCTATGCTACTCCAATAAAGATTCTTTAAGGTAAACAATGCCTCGAAGGTCTTTGAAGAGTTTCATCTGTCGGAACCATGACAGTCGCATTTGCATGCTTTCGATCTGCTAAGTGGGCAGGAGACGGAGCAAATAACGGGAGCTCACGCCATTGCACTGGGTCTCAAACCCGGTGCAGCTCTCCAGCTGACAAGCTCAGTGTCAATTTAACCCGTGAGCCATTTTAACTATCAGGTGGAAAATAGTCACTCTTCAGTTACTCCATGAGCGACACTTGATTCATACAACTGCACAAGGGTTGATTTGTACGTATCAAAAATGTTACTACAATACTGGTAATAATAAACCAGCTAATTTACAGCGTTTTCATGGTATGGGATAAATTCTCAAGCCAACATTGCGGGGTTTTTTGTTTTTTTTACATTTTAGGTTCAATCCACCAAAAAGCCTTTCCTTAGTCCAGGAGTACAGTCCGTTTTGATTAAATTGAAGCCCGGTGAGACCACAAAGGCAGCATCTTTCAAAGACCTGGGACTCAAGCCAATTCCTAATGGGATTACTTCTTTCTAAGTCTGAAATATTTGTTCCGAACTCACAGGCGTGGCTTCCACATCCTTTCTTTCCTTGCTTCTTTCTCCCCTGCATAGATCATCCTTTCATGAGATACTACAGACTCAGCAATGAAGCTTTTTAAAAAAAAAAAAAATAAATCCCGCTTATGAAAAAGAAGTCTTTTCTCTTCTCTCCCATTTTGAATGAGCTACTCCATAGATCTTCCACAAGATATAGTCCTCGGTTTACAACCTTTCATTTATTAGCGACAGTTCGAAGTTACAACAGCACTGAAAAAACTGACTCATGACCGTTTTTCATTCTTTACGACCGTTGCAGCATCCCCATGGTCATGCGATCAAAATTCAGATGCTTGGCATCTGCCTCACATTTATGATAGTTGCCCTGTCCTGGGATCAGGGCACGTGATCCCTTTTTGCCTAATTCCCACAACACTGTCTTATGACTAAAGATATTTAGCCATGTAGTAGGGCTGTATTGTTATTATCCTTCTCACCTTCCAATCTTTCCTACTACCTTCTCCTATGGGTATCTTATGATTTATCACTTGTTTGTATCTTATGATTTTGTGATTATATGGTTTATGATCTATGACTTACCACTTTGCTTATGGTATGTAGACTGAGAGCTGATGCACCGGAGACAAATGCCAATCACACTTGGCCAATAAAAAATATTCCTAGAGAATATTCCTTCTGACAAGCAAAGTCAAAAGGTGATCACTTGACCCTGGGACACTGCAACCGTTATAAATATGAGTCAGTTGCCAAGTGTATGAATTCTGATCATGTAACCATGGAGATGCTGCAAGGATTGTGAGTGAGAAAAATGGCCCTAAGTCTCTTTTTTTAGGGTTGTAACTTTGAACTGCCACTAAATGAACTTTGTAAGTCGAGAACTACCTGTACACTGATTAAAATTCAGGACTGGACCTGGTTAAAATCTGGACGGGAGACCACCAGGAACCAACGTCCTCAAGGGTAATGCTAACCGTTTTCCTAATCTCTTTGCAGATGTGTCCCAAGAACCAGAGGAGAACAAACGCCATTTCCTACCTGCCAGCAAACAGGGTCCATTAACCAACATCTCGAAGCTGAACTCATAGGGGAAGGGATTGTAAACGTCACCTCTGAAGATGTCGGGCTCCTTGGGAGGCGTACAAAAAGACGGGTCACTCTTCAGACTAGCAGAGCCAAAACAACTCGTGGAGCTGAAGCAGAAGAAAAAGCGACACTGCTGACTGCCACATCCCACTTGTCCTGTGAAACTTAGAAATGATTGTTAGGAGATAAGACATATTTCTAGGCCTCTTCAGAAGTTATTTTTCTTGGGGTGGGAGAAAGAAAGGTGTCAACGCTGCTAACATCCGATGCTCTTGCTTTGACAACAGATGGAAATGCAGCCATTTTCCTCTATTGCTTTTAGAGTTCGTTGATGCTGGGAGGGGGAATGTGAATGAGAGTCCAGCTAGTCATAACAATAATAACTCAGCCGTAGGAACCCAAGGTCATTGGGCCCAGAGTCGATAGAGTTTTGTCGGCTGGAGAGCTGGGGAGAAAGCCTGCGTTTCAAGCTAATTGCGGAATGTGATTTACGACTGTTTATTGGAGGAGGGAATTGTGCTTTGTTACTTTGTACCCAGGGGAGGGGAATTTAGTTTTTGGTTTCAACTATGTAGTGCCGATACTTTGTTTCTCGAATAAAAGTTTCTTTAAGGTAAACCATGCCTCGAAGTTCTTTTGAAGAGTTTCATCTGTTGGAACCATGACATAAGGAAGGAAGGAAGGAAGGAAGGAAGGAAGGAAGGAAGGAAGGAAGGAAGGAAGGAAGGAAGGAAGGAAGGAAGGAAGGAAGGAAGGGCTTTTTGAAATGAATGTCACCAGAAGAGTTTTATTGTTTAAACCACATACTTACCCATTTACGTTGATTTCAATATTGTGAAAATTACAGGGGGGAAAACCTGGAGAGGTATTATCTGAAGTAAATCTGGGCTTGAAACCATTACATATAACATTTGTCTGAGGGGGGGGGGGAATTCTACAGGAAGCTTTCTTTACAGTGTTTTAGAGTTAAGGTTCACATAACCAATATTTAACATGTCAACCTGACCGTATGACGAAATTTTATAGAGATTTGGGGAGGTGAACAAAAATATTTAAGAACAAGTCTGCAGATTAAGAAAATATACCCGTTGTAACATAAAGGTCAGACATCTCTTACAAGGCTAGAAGTTTGGTTTTTTTACAAGCTCCGTTAAAAAAAGACAGGTGGGAGAACTAAATATTAATACTCCTCACTTAAACATGCTCGTGCTTATATTTTTTTGGTATTGTGCTTATAATATTTCGCTCATTCCCTCGTCACTCTCTTCTTTCCTTGATGTTTTGTTCTTACTTGGTAATCAAAATTTCCTCCCTACTGGATGCATGGAGTCCGCACAGAGGAGAGCTCCCCAAAGAGGTCAATATTGACCCCCAAAGGGTCAATGGGACGGTCTGTTGTTATTTGTAGTACTATTAGTTACAATAGTATTTGTTAAAATTTCATATAACTTGGAATCCAGTTTTGGTCACCACTAAATCCAGTTTTGGTCACCACGATGTAAAAAAGATGTTGAGACTCTAGAAAGAGTACAGAGAAGAGCAACAAAGATGATCAGGGGACTGGAGGCTAAAACATATAAGGAACAGTTGCTGGAATTGGGTATGTCTAGTTTAACGAAGAGAAGGACGAGGGGGGACATGATAGCAGTCTTCCAATATCTCAGGGGCTACCACAAAGAAGAGGGAGTGAAGCTATTCTCCAAAGCACCTGAAGGCAGGGCAAGAAGCAATGGATGGAAACTAATGAAGGAGAGAAGCAACCTAGAACTAAGGAGAAATTTCCTGACAGAACAATTAATCAGTGGAAGGGCTTGCCTTCAGAAGTTGTGGGTGCTCCAACACTGGAGGTTTTTAAGAAGACATTGGACAACCATTTGTCTGAAATGGCATAGGGTTTCCTGCCTGAGCAGGGGGTTGGACTAGAAGACCTCCAAGGTCCCTTCCAACTATTCTGTTATATGAAGAACAGTTGCAGGAACTGGGTAGGTCTAGTCTAACAAAGAGAAGGTCTAGGAGTCGCAAAGGTGGCTGGGTAATTCTCAGAGTTGAAGTCCACACATCTTAAAGATGCCAAGGTTGAGAAACACTGCATAGGGTGTTTGCCTTACTGGCTGACTCACATTCCCCAAGGTCTCTATTTGTTCACTCTGCAGGAAGCAGTCACACATTCCCCCTCCACTATGGCTCATTCAAATGACTTTGAGCCTCAGGTTGAAAGTAACAGTGAATTGTATGAGTGGAGACTTAAGCTTGGACATCAAAAGTGGAGCCGTAGCACACATATGGCTTACTCAAAACTGTTGAAAGAGCTTTCCAAACTAGCTAAGATGTGGGGAGATACTTTAACTCTTTTTTCTCTATGACTGCCATAGTAATTTTCTGGCTCTTAATAATCTTAAGCTTGTGAGGTACACAAGAAATGTACATGTTGTAATTTTCCATTTCTGTTCAAGGAATAGGCATATAGAGGCACTTAGCTAAGGTATTTTTAGGAAAGGAGATATAGAAAGCTGGAGGAATAGAGAGAAACTACATACACTGACTTAAAGTATACTTTTAGAATAGTCCACACTATTGTAGAATAGCACATAGCTTATAAATAACGTATTATTCATTTATATAAGGTTTATTCTTTATAAAAACTGCCTAGAATTAGTATTTTAAAGTATAACTATGAGCAACAAAGTATAACTATGAGCAACAAAAATCATTAGAGGTCTGGAGGCTAAAACATATAAGGAACGATTACTGGAATTGGGTATGTCTAGTTTAATGAAGAGAAGGACGAGGACGGACATGATAGCAGTGTTCCAGTATCTCAGGGGCTGCCCCAAAGAAGAGGGAGTCAAGCTATTTTCCAAAGCGCCTGAAGGCAGGACAAGAAGCAACGGATGGAAACTCATCAAGGAGAGAAGCAACCTAGAACTAAAGAGAAATTTCCTGACAGTTAGAACAATTAACCAGTGGAACAACCTGCCTCCAGAAGCGGTGAATGCTCCAACCCTGGAAGTTTTTAAGAAGAGACTGGACAGCCATTTGTCTGAAATGATATAGGGTTTCCTGCCTGAGCAGGGGGTTGGACTTGATGATCTCCATGATCCTTTCCAACTTTATTGTTGTTGTTATTGTTTATTATTATTATTATTATTATTATTATTATTATTATTATTATTATTATTATTATTATTATTATTATTATTATTATTACCAAAGTGCAGCCATGTTTAACTGAAGCATGAACTCTTTTACACACATAGCTTCTAGATGCAAAGCAGGCATCCTTATAGACAAACAAGGGAAGACATAAATCCTTTATAATTGCAATTATTCAGTATGGGTGGAAATTCATCTCATAGACGAGCTATACCCTGAGTTAGCAAGATGTTACAAATCATGCTACAGAAAAAGGAGGGCTTTTTTGATCTAATAACTGGAGGGTCTGGTAATTGTAATGGTTGCTAGGCGGTCGGAAAGCATGTGACCAATTTAAACCTATCAACTGGGCTCCCTTTGGAAGGATGTGGCGTGAAGCACAGGACACGGTATAAAAACCTATGCAGAAACTGATTCGGGTGTGGACTCTGGGATCTGCCGTTACCAAGAGTTCCACCGCTTTTGCAAAAGCTTTAATAAAACTTGCTTTCTCTTCCAACCTCCTCGGAGGTTGAATTTTTATTCCTCCCAAGCCCTTCAACGTGTCTCCAAATACCATGAAAGCCATGAAAATCACCATAGGCCCAACCTGTCGTCACACAAGCTTCCCGTTTCGCTTTCACTTTCAGGCACGGCTACAACTAAAGGCGTGAGTACAGATGGGAAGAAGACATGCATGCCACCGTTGGGCAGGGTTGCCAGCTCCCGGCTGCTGGTGAAGAGCACAGTCAGTGTTGCTGAGGGCTCAATCAGGCCTGCGCTGACGACGAAAGTAGACCGGGCCTGGTCTCCATCAAGGATCAAATGTCCTGGGTAGAAGAGAGGAAGTAGTTAACCAATATCCAGCGTCGGAAAAAAGAGCCACTCTCTATGATCTGCATAGAGGAAACGGGAATCGTTGCGCACTTTCTTCCTCTCCTTATTTGACCACGGCCATTCGAGTGGCGAGATTTTAATACAGGTGTTGAAGTCATTTTATCTTACTGAAAACGTTGCCCAGAATAGTTAAAGAGTGAGGGGCAAATATCCCCTTGAGCACAGAGGATACCGTTTAAAAAAACCTGTCTTTCAACAGAGTCACTTAAACCAATGTTATCAGAGGGGTCCTACAGAGGGGTCTTCAAACTACAGAGGGGTCTTCAAACCTGGCCCTTTTATGACTTGTGGACTTCAACTCCCAGAATCCCTCAGCCAGCGTGCACGCTGCCTGAGGAATTCTGGGAGTTGAAGTCCACAAGTCATAAAAGGGCCAAGTTTGAAGATCCCTGCCCTATAGTACGACTTAAGCTACGCTGATTGAGGAATTCTGGGAGTTGAAGTCCACAAGTCTTAAAGTTGCCAGGTTTGGAGCCCCATGCCCTATAGCAGTGGTGCCAAACCTATGGCACGTGTGCCAGAGGTGGCACGCAGAGCCCTCTCTGTGAGCACGCGCCATCGCCCCAGCACACGTGGTCTCTAAAAGTTTGCCATCACTGGCCTAAGGCCAGCCAGCTTGGGGCTGCCATTGGGGAGCCCACCATCCCACCTGCCAGAGGCCCCCTGGATCTCCCCCAACCCTGCTCGGCTCCCACAGTTGTCCCTCCCCATAAGCAACATCAAGGTGGCCACGCCCACCCCGACTGTGCCCACCCAATATGCCATGACTACTGCAGCCACACCCATTCAGTGGTCACGCCCACCCAGTCTGCCAAGCCCACTGTAGCTGCGCCCGCCAAGAGGGCCACACCCACTCGCCATCACTGCCCTATAGCATAGATCACCCTTTCTTTTACCCTGGAGCAGTGTTTCTCTACCTTGGAAACTCTTAAGATGTCTGGACTTCAACTCCCAGAATTCTGATAGAGATTTGTCTGGTTTGGTTGAACCTCTGGTATGGCTCTCACCTTCCTCAGAGTATGCCAACCCCAAAACCATCTGCTGCCTTGTATTCTTTCTACAGTCTTTGCAGTAACCTCTGCCTGCTCAATAGGAATAAACCACTCAGTCACCCCTAATGGATCATCACTAAGCCTCATGGCACTCCTATGGGACATTCAGGATACTGAATTCTGCAAGTTGAAGTCCAGACGTCTTAAGAGTTGTCAAGGTCGAGAAAAATTGCCCTGGAGGTCATCTAGTCCAACCCCGTTCAGGCAGGAAACACTATACCAGGGGTAGGCAACCTTGGTTCTTTTATGACTCGTGGACTTCAACTCCCAGAATTCCTGAGCCAGCATGGCTCAGCTTGGAAGCCTCTCCCTTTCCCCTCAACATGGCTGGCTCAGGAATTCTGGGAGTTGAAGTCCAGACATCTTAAGAGTTGTCAAGGTCGAGAAACATTGCCCTGAAGGAACTCTTGAAATAATCTGTAGATCTCAGGGAAGCCCTGCATAAAATTCTATATTCTATATTCCATTCCATACTCCATTCTATTCTTATTCTATTCTATTCCAATTCCATTCCCATTCTTATTCTAAGCCTAGTCCTAGTCCTAGTCCAGTCTAGTCTACACACTACACTACATTACACTACACTACACTCATCATTCAACAAATGTATACAGTGCCTACAGCTTATGTTATGTGGTGAGCAAAATTTAAAAGAACGTTTATTTTTTTTCCCCAACCATAATTTTCTGCAGAGCCCCCATGACTTTTCACGAATCCTGGAATTTTGTGGAATCTATTTGAGAGAGGTTGGTACAGATGCAGTGCTTAAGAAGTGTGCTTTGACTAAGAGAACAATGCATGTTGATCTGTGTTCACGAAGGCCTTGAGATTTGTGCTTTGCTCATAACTCGCTATCCCCTCTATTCTGCCTCTCTAGTGGATTGCTAAAATCTGGTGCTCTTAGAACCAGGGCCCTATCGTTCTTTATACGGAGAAAAGTCACCTTTCGGGACCTTTCCATGTCAAGAAAATGCTTTGGGGAGTCCATCCAGAGCCAGGTTCAAGCCCCATCTGACTATTCTTTTCAGAAGTTCTGGGTACAGAGCTCTCTTAGAGCAATATGACCCCCACCAACCATTACTGCAGCGGAGCGGCTGGTTGCAATTCATGTTACAGTCAAGGCAGCAATCATCCACTGGAGGCCGGGTCTGGATCTGGAAGGTGGAGGTCCTGTTTCCTGTCTTTGCTTCAAAGCTTGAGACCACCTCGGTCTCCTCCAAGGGATAGACGAATACTCCTGTGCCAAAGAAACCAGGTAATATAAACTGACTGTGCACCCCTTAACATCAGCATTTCTCAACCTTGGCCTCTTTAAGTTGGGTAGACTTCAACTCCCAGAATTCTCCAGCCAGCCATTCTGGCTAGAGAATTCTGAGAGTTGAAGTCCACCCGTCTTAACGTTGCCGGAGTTGAGACACGCGTTAATCTTACATACCTTCTTATTGTGAATAATACTGAAGAGATAGCCGATGACCTCCACTGGAGGCATACCTTCTTGGGAGCATCCAGGATGGAAATTATGGAGGTTGGAAGTTGATAGAGATCAGGTCTGATGTTGTTAATGACCAGCTTGGACAAAGTGAAGGATGATGGAAACCATACTTCTGCTACATGTAGAGAACTACCCTATAAAGAGTAGTGGTGGAGTAGTGGCTAGAATGCAGTATTGGCTAGTAGTGGCTAGAATGCAGTATTGCAGGCTAAAACTGCTGATTGCCAGGAGTTCGATCCTGACCAGCTCAAGGTTACCTCAGCCTTCCATCCGTCCGAGGTCAGTAAAATGAGGACCCAGATGGTTGGGGGCAAATATGCTGACACTGCAAACTACTCAGGGACTGCTGTAAAGCACTATGGAGTGATATATAAATCTAAGTCCTATTGCTATAAGTCCCCACTTGTCAACGCTGCAAATACTGTATATTCTTGCTTTGACAATGTGCAGAACTGTCTGGTATTTATATAGTTAAACCAGCAACCAGGAAAGAGGGAGGAGCATAAGGATAGTCCGGGAGAAAGAAACCGGAAGTAAATCACATCTTCCAAGTTGATTGGAAGATGTGAACCATGACCCTACAATAAGGGAGTGGACAATGTTTGGAATGTTATCCGTACGGAAGAGAAGCAGATCTAAGCATTCCTCCATATTGTGCTGACGTATCTGTAACATTAATAAATGCTTTTAGGAGAAAATATGCCTGAAAGTCCTTTTTAGTGTTTCGTTAATCAGACATATGACATTATGCTTAGATCTGCTATATATTATGTTCCTGGCACTAGAAGTTATTTACCTGCTCCTGCAGGAATAGCTGAAGAATCAGTACCCAGTCCATTAAAACCAGGAATGTAACATATAAACTATGCTTATATAACATTGTTTTGTAAGGTGTTGGTTGTCACCTTTAAAGCCCTTCATGGCTTGGGACCAGGTTATCTGAGGGGGTGCCTCTTGCCGGTCACATCCACCCAACCCACTAGAGCAGGGAGGCAACAAATGTTGTGGGTCCTGTCCCCTAGGGAAGTACATCTGGCAGGACCCAGAAAAAGGGCCTTCTCCATGGTGGCTCCCTCCCTCTGGAATATCATCCCTCCAGAAATTAGACTGGCCCCCACGCTGACACCCTGAAGATGTGGTTTTGCCAGCAGGCCTGGGGAACCCAAATGGGATGGAGCCCATTAAATGGCTGAATGAGTGTGTGTTGTCGCCAAGGAGGAGGTTATTATTTTATTATTTTTATTCCTCCTACGTTGCATTTTTATCTTCTGCAAGCCATCTAGAGTCACTGTGAGCAAGTAGGCGGCTATATAAATTTTCCAAAATAAAATAAATAGCTTTGGAACACTAAAAAAAAAAAAACAACAACCCTCACCTTCCACAGGTTGCTGCTCCAGATTGATGTAAGTAAGGTTGGCAGTGATGCCCAAGGTATAGCCATTGGCACAGGCCTTCACACATGAGCTCTGTAGAGGAAGGGCAGTCCAAGAAGGCAAGCAGTACAACCCTGGCATGGTCTTTGGGTCAAACGAAGGGTTCTCAATTTCTGCAGTTAGATGAGAAAAAGGCAAAGGACACAGGGAATGCCTGGTGAATCTAACCCCCAGAGTTGAGAATTGATTTAAAAATGGAGGCAGCTGTCATTCAGAGTGGATCTAGATCAGGGGTGTCAAACTCGCAACGTCACGTGACGTGTCGCACGTATCATGACTTTTTTGCCATTGCCGGCAATGGAGTGGGCGCAGTTTCGCCATGATGCATCCGGCCCGCGGACCAGCAGTTTGACACCCCTGATCTAGATGAAAACAGGATGTAATTGAGCTTTATTTCAAGCCATTAATGAAATGGCAAAACAATTTGGGAACTTCCACATGAGGGTTCTGGGCCATCTGGAAAGCAGCTCCAGATGTTTGTGATCCCACAGCATCAGTGGGTGTCGGTAATCTGAGCCAAATTTCTTCCAACTCAGCTGTGATGTTGCTGACACATAACAAAAGTTTTTCCTGTTGCAAGATTGTGAGATGAAGACTTTGGAGCTTTGGGAAGACCCATTTGCCCATGTCAAAAAGTTAGCACTTGACATCTCTTCCTGCTTCTGAACCTCAGGCATCTTAAGAAATCCTGCTACTTGGAAGGCTTTGCAGCCCCCTTTTAACACAACAAGCAAAGACAACAAGCGTGTTTCTTCCATTAGTTTCTTAGTCTGGCCATAAAGTACAAAGGCACAGAGCAATGGTGGCGAACCTATGGCACACGTGCCAGAGGCGACACTCACAGTCCTCTCTGTGGGCACGCGCAGGTCCATTAGGCCGCCGCCACCCGGAACGGCAGCCCCACCCATTATAAAGGAGGCGAAGCAGCCAGCTAGCAAGCTTGAGTAGAGGTGGTAAAGCATGCCCACACCCAGCAAGCCAAAGGCCACCCCAAGCAGGGAAAGCTGGATCCCCATTGGCGCCATGGCCCCCCAGTCCCAGCTAGGATTGCGTGCTAGGAGAGAAGCAAGCTAGAACTAAGGAGAAACTTCCTGACAGTCAGAACAATTAACCAGTGGAACAACCTGCCTCCAGAAGCTGTGAATGCTCCAACACTGGAAGTTTTTAAGAAGAGACTGGACAGCCATTTGTCCGAAATGGTATAGGATTTCCTGTCTGAGCAGGGGGTTGGACTAGATGACCTTCAAGGTCCCTTCCAACTTTACTATTATTATGATGATGATGATGATGATGATGATGATGATGCCATTTCCCCCTTCTATTCTGCAGGAATAAGCCAAGCTGCTTGAGAGTTTCATTGTTCTTTCTTTCTGGGCGGGGCATGGGGGGGTGGCTGGGGAATTCTGGGAGTTGAAGTCCACACATCTTTAAGCTGCTGAGCTTGAGAAACGCTGTTCTAGATGATTCCAGGCTGTTCTATGGAACTGAGGAATGGAACAGGGTGAAAAGTGTCCTTCTATGGCAGGGGTTCCCAACCAGGGGTGCGGGACGGTATTCCAGGGGGTGCAAAAACTTGGGTTTAGAAGTTTCAAAATTACAGTGTATGTGCATAATTCCTTTTTCCACTTTTGTAAGGGGTGCGAGAATATATCAGAAGCATTCTAGGCGTACGGGGTAGAGAAAAGGTTGGGAACCACTGTTCTGTGGGAATATAATGGCATGGGCCACCTGAGAAAATGTGACAATCCATGTTTTCAACATTTTTCCCATGCCAGTTGTGTCTCTAGTGGGTCTTTTGATAGCTAGCCAAGCTGCCTACAAAGGGGAAAATGTTATTCAGGAAGTAACTATTTTTTCACTTCTGCCTGAGCAGGAAAATAGCCTTGTATGCAATGACAGTTTAAGTCAAAAATGTGTGCCTTTCCCTCCCTGATTATTTTTATGACACATAGCCAGGCCTCCATTATGTTGCTAGGCACAATGCATTTCAAAGTTGTAGTACTGACAGTTTTACTTGTGAGAGAGATTGCTTAGCACATTACTGAGCAAGCATTTTTTAGTTTAAGTTTAAGCCTTGAGAACTTGACCTTGCTAAGATTGCGAGACTACAAGTAGTCCTTGACGTATGACCACAACTGAGCCCAACATTTATGTTGCTAAGTGAAACAGTTGTTAAGGGAACTCTGCTCCAATTTACGACCTTTTTTGTCCCAGTTGTAAAGTGAATCACTACCGTTAGGTCAAGTGAACCATCCCGGTTGTTAACTTAATAACATGGTTGTTAAGTGAATCTGGCTTCCCCCTTGACTCTGCTTGTCAGAAGGTTGCAAAAGGGGATCCCGTGACCCCAGAACACTGCGACGGTCATAAACATGACCGCCAAGCGTCTGGATTTTGATCACGTGACCCAGGGGGAGGCTACAACGGCCGTGAGAAAAATGGTCATAAGTCACTTTTTTTCAGTGCTGTTGTAACTTTGAACGGTCAGTAAATGAACTGTTGTTAAGTTGAGGACTACCTGTATTGTGAAACTGTGAATGGCACCAAGAAGATGATTTGAGGAAAGGGGATGTGACTTATCCTAAAGTGAGGGAGAAAAGATTGATATCTCATACCCTCAAATGTCCAGGAACAAGGATTGATGGTTTGAGCTTATGTTCATGGAGAATTGGACTACACCAGGGGTCTTCAAACTTGGCCCTTTTATGACTTGTGGACTTCAACTCCCAGAATTCCTCAGCCAGGCACGCGTGCCTGGCTGAGGAATTCTGGGAGTTGAAGTCCACAAGTCATAAAAGGGCCAAGTTTGAAGACCCCAGGACTATACAGTTCTGCAGGAGTCTCTACCTGGAATACTATCGATTGTCTGAAACCGGCAGCTCCTAAATTTTTTCACTTGCAAGACCAGAGTCCTCTTGCTTACATTTGACACACAGATAATGCACGTACACTTTAATTTGTCATCAGCCCTACTAAATCAAAACTCATCATGGAAAGTTATCAGCCCACAGCATGGCATGCTTGCAAGAATTTCGATGTTTATATTGGTTACTAGCTGTACCCAGCCACGCGTTGCTGTGGCTCAGTCTGGTAAAAGCGTGTGTTGCTTTTACGTCCAACAGATGGCGCTGCTTTTAAAAAAAACATATTTTACCTGTCACAGGTGTGACATCTATATAATATAGGTATATAAAAACACACGCATATTCGAATGCAACGTTGTGTCAAAATTTCAAAGCAATCGGTGAAGAACCTTCGGAGATTTAAGATTTTGAACAAACAAACATTTACATTTTTATTTATATATAGAATATAGATATGGGTACTAGATATTTTTAGATGAGACATCTGGTCCTTGCTGATTGCTGCAAAGAATGCTGAACTGGGTGGAATTGGGCATTTCTGTAATTTCCAATTATGAAAATAGGGGAATGCTCATTAGCCATATTAAATGGAGCATTGGAATATTATTGTGCTTACCCCCCACCATCAATGTGGTGGTGGGATCATGAAATAACTCCTAATCTTCATACTTTTGTGGATATTTTCCCTCCCCAAACCTGTTTTCTTTAAATATTCTTTGAATGGGTAAAGATCACGTGCAGGGTTAACACCATAACTCAGCCTGCGGGGCAGTTGAAGGGGTTGTATTTAGTTCAACTTGTTTCAAGAATGGTTTGGGCTTAACTAATTAATTAAGCACCTGGAAGCAGGACAAGAAGCAACAGATGGAAACTAATCAAGGAGACAAGCAACCTAAAACTAAGGAGAAATTTCCTGATAGCGAGAACAATTAATCAGTGGAACGACTTGCCTCCAGAAGTTGTGGGTGCTCCAATACTGGAAGTTTTTAAGAAGAGACTGGACAGCCATTTGTCTGAAATGGTATAGGGCAGGGGTGTCAAACTCAATTTCATTGAGGGCCGCATCAGCATTGCGGTTGCCCTCGGGGGGGGGTGCAGCCTACTAGGTGGGCGTGGATGGAGTGGGTGTGGCCTACTGGGTAGGCATGGCCAGCTCTACATCGTTCGCATCAAGGGTGCCTGTGGGGGCCTGGGCAGGAGTGGGACAGATCTGAGGGTCTCTGGCAGAAGGGGGTGGGACCGGGGCAAGCGCCAAGGCATGGTCCATTTCTTCATTCCTCACAAAGGGTGACACCTCCCCAGCATGCACCCAGGGGGCGGGGCCAACACGGCAGGGGCTGGCTCCTCGCTGTTTCCGGACGGCCTTGTGGAGCTAAGACTGAATGCGTTTCAGCATAGATGGCCACCACAAAATTGTACCTTGGCTCCCGGCCGGCCTGGGCCAAGGCCAAGGCAGCGGGGGCCGTTCCCTCACTGTTTCCAGGATGGCTTCGTGGGCCACATGAAACCACTTCGCGGGCCGCATCCGGTCCCCGGGCCTTGTGTTTGACATGTCTGGTATAGGGTTTCCTGCTTCAGTGTGGGTGTGTGTGTGTGTGGACTAGAAGACCTCCAAGTTTCCTTCCAACTCTGTCATTCTGTTATGTTTTAATGTCCTAGTTCCTTGCTACCCTTTCTCTCTTGACAAGTCTGGCTATATCACCCGGGTGATCCAGGTGGCTGGCTTATGGAATTGGAACAGGTGATACTGCCCTAGGAAACCAAAGCAACCTCTGTGATTTCAATCCCTCAAGAGCTGTTGAGCCCCACTGACAGCTCAAGCGAACTGGAAGATGATCCATATTCCGAAAACAATTCTTTGTTTCCAGGTGACCTCGACTCTACCTTGCACATGTAGCGGCAAGGTGCAGTTTGAGAGGTCTCGGCCAGCTGTCATTCAGGTGAAAGATGGCATGGAAAAACAAACAGAGATACTGTGCAAAGCTGCTAGTCAGTCCTGAGCATGGAAAGATGTAGCACTTATATTTCTCTCCGCAGTGTAAACTCCAGCTAGCTGAAACTGATTAGGAGAACTGCTATTATGATAAGGCTCTGGTTATAACTAACTAGCTTATGCTAGTCATCAACAGCCATATCGGTTGAAGATGATAGAAACTGAAATCTGTCGTATTCTACTTAGATAGTGTGCTCTCCTTATGAAACTTTTGATTGGAAGGT